GAATATCATTTTCAGTCGAAAATTCTGAACTAGTTGTATCTTTGAATTTTCTAAAACAAATTGAATTTTTAATTGATGTCAAATTAGCAGGTGTAAACAACGCCAACAATTCATGAAATGGGCTACGATTATGATTAAGTGAAACAGTAGATGCAGAAGGGAAAGAACAATTTCCTTGAGATATTGATGAAATTAATGTTGATGCAGTAGCAGCAATAGGAGTAGGATCAGTGATTATACGGTCATGTTTAAAAGTGGATGATGCATGGTTTAAATCATTTTTTAAATTTGGTATTAATCCACAAAATGGTCTAGGTAATGATGACTGATGATGATAAAATGATGATGTTGGCATATTTGATGTTTGTGTATTCGACTCTGAAATTAATGAATTTAATACACTTTGACCTTTATCAAAATCTAGTAAACTAGCATTCACTGCAAAGTCAATTATAGCACGATAACAAAAGGTATATTGTGACGGGACTTGTACACAACCAAACCTTTGTGAACGCACCCGACTAACTGTCAATGGAATATTGATTTTGTGATCTGTATTCCGCGGATCGGTTAACCATTTTGTGCATATATCGACGGTTACATAGGTACCTAACATTTAAAAAAAAGATAAAGAAAATGAACAATAAAGGCATTTAAACGTCTTATGAGTAGTTTTTTTTTCAATGAATGAGTAACAACACATTGTAAGCTTGTAATCCTAAAATATGGAGCATTTTGAACAATACAGATTTCATAAAATAATAGTATACACAGAAATATATACATAAGTGAAGAAAAATTGAAATCTACTACACATTATGTTGACAATGTTTTCACAAACTATTCACACAGAGGAATTACGCTTAATATCTCTATAGGTGATGATTACCAATAGTGATGATGAAATTCTTCAAATTACAAAATATGCGAAGTATTTATTCATTCCACTTCATTTTCTTCCTCCTTATTGTAATCGTCACTCTACTATTAAATTTTGACAAAACTTGACGTAAATATAAAATTTTAATTCAACCTCTAACAGTTTTGCAATTCATCCACTCTAATTCTCCACACACAAACCTGTAAATCATGTTAATTATATTTATTATTATCGTATGTATACTTACTGAGGAATTTTTAGTGAAGAAACTAATGATGGATTGAGCTTCATTTGGACATTTTACTGTATACAGAATGATTACACACTTTTCTATAAAAAAAGTATTATTCAGCTCTGTTTGATATTAGGTTGAATAGTAATACTGAATTTTTATAAAGTGTCCTATCTACTAATATTATAATGAAATTTTGCACACCTTAACACATATACACAGATTCAGTAACAGACAGAATAATGTACGATTTCGAGAATGATACTGCGCACAATAAGAACTAAGGTGAACATTTTACTAGTCCTATTAATGAATGTCAAGCACAATCACCAGGAGTAATTGTCGTTCAGTACGATTAGCATAATGACTTCAAAGAAAGGGGGTGAGTTCATATGTCCGTTGACTGCTGAGACAATACCAATAAGTTTTGGTTTGTAAGGATTAGTTATGTTTTACGAGTTGATCACGGATTGATATCAGTTAGAGAACATTGAAACCAGGAGTACGGACAGCTGCTGTTTCATCTAGTTTGGGAATCATCGGCAGTACGCACCCACTGGTTTCGAACCAGGACCTTCCGGTTACAAGGCAAGCTCGTATACCATTCAGCCACTGGGACCCGATTCAATGGCTCGTGAATTCTAACTTCTACCAATTCGTGATTTAGCGCGACCCCAACCATTGTCGTTGGTGGGACATCCATCCACACACGTGACATCTAATTGGACCTCACTGGTCACGACTTCTCACTAGAACTCAGGAAACTCCAACCTGTAGCAAGTCACTAGCGAGCATCAGATTAACTTTCTATAGTTTTGGTTTGTAAGGATTAGTTATGTTTTACGAGTTGATCACGGATTGATATCAGTTAGAGAACCATTGAAAACCAGGGAGTACTGGACACTGCTGTTTCATCCTAGTTTTGGGAATCATCGGCAGTACGCACCCACTGGGTTTCGAACCCAGGACCTTCATCTCAATAAGTCTCAATAAATCACACAAAAAGAAAATATGGGGTTGAAAGTCTCAAGCAAACAAAATCAGAAACATTGTAGGTGCAACATTTAAAAAAAGAGGAATACTACTTTTTGGTGGTTATGAATACTGAAGATTCAATAAAAGGTTTTTCGAAGAGTGCCAAAGATGGATTAAAACAGATTTGATGATTTAAACTGAGAAACTAGGCAAAGTGTTTCCAGCAATCTTCAGGGAAATGAATTATATAGATTCAATAGAGATTGTACAGTACTTTGGAAAATTCTGATTGTTCATCATTGAAAAAAAGTTGTGAAGCGAATTGCACAGTGATTTAATAGAAAGCCAGTCGACAAATTTGAGGAAGGCGTCTTTAAAGATGCTGATAATACCCACTGTGAACAAACACCTAACTAACTTAACATTCTGCAAGAAGCCATGAATGTCTGTTTACCAACTATAACTACAATCTGATTTACTCCTCAATAGAGAATGATGCCATTGTTGTAGAACATGTAAAAAATAAACTTTTTTAGATTAATATTAGCTTGGATCTTGTATTATCATTCAATAAGGAAGGTGACTGAAATATATGCAACCATAATACTTCGAATTGGCTAGCAAGCACTGCTGTCTGTCTGTTTCCGACATAGAACTTGGCACATATGTGCGGAAGTTCAAGTCGCCACACTCCATGTAGCACGCGAAGCAAGAGAAGAAAGTACAAGAAAAGCATAATAGAGACAGTGAGCAGAGGTGTGAGACAAAGGAGTAATAACGAAGAACAAAACAGTTTCATTGGAAATCATAAGTCACAAGGAGTGGATGCATCTGCGCCACTGAGAACGATTTTGAGCCATGTCACCAATTGTTTCCAACCATTGATTTTTACCGTCTCCAGGACCCCAACCAGGAAGTCTACACCTTTCTACGTGGCTTAAACCAACTGTTGTGGATTTCATTGACTGGTGCCAAGTTTTTGTTTGACCGCCGCTAGCTTTTTTCCAGCCTGACCCTATATCCGCTAACATTGCTCGTCGAGGGAGGCGATGGCTTGGCATACGTAACACATGTCCTAACCATCTCAGTCTTTGTAGCTTCACGACTTCGTCGATTGATTTCCCCTGTTTACCTAGAACTCTACGCCTAACCTCCATGTTGCTCACCTTATTATGCCACTTTACACGGGAAATAGAACGCAGGCACCTATGATCAAAGACAGCTAGTCTTTTCATGTCTTCCACTCTCAGTGGCCAGGTCTCACAACCATAAAGGAGGACGGAGCGGACTGATGAGCAGTACACCCGCCCTTTGGTCGATAGTCGAACATCTCGTCTACGCCAGAGTCGGCGTAAACTAACAAATGCGAAACGAGCCCCTTGTATTCGTGCTGAGATTTCGTCAGAGATCAGCCCGTTGGGGCTGATGGTACTTCCCAAATAAGTGAAGCGGTCAACGTGCTCTACCACTTCACTTCCTATTTTTAAACTAGGCGTCGATGTAGTCCAGTCCTGTAACATCATCTTGCATTTGGCGGGAGCGAATCGCATGCCAAACATTCGTAGATTGCGGCTCAAGGTGTTTAGAAGACTCTGCATTTTGTCAGCGTCTTCGCCTAGAAGGACTATATCGTCTGCATATTCCAAGTCAACGAGATTATTCCCCGGTAGCAAGTCAATCCCTGAGTCGCTGAAGTCACCTAGGGTTAAGTCCATTAACACATCTATGATGAAGTTGAATAGAAAAGGAGATAATGGGCATCCTTGACGGACACCACTGGTCGTCATCAGTTCAGATGACAGCTCGCCGTAAGCCCTCACCTGGCTGTATGAGTACGAATAGAGTGCCTTAATCAGTGCAATATATTTTCTTGGAATTCCCTTTACAGCCAAGCATCTCCAGAGAACTTCTCGATCGACAGAGTCGAATGCTGCCTTTAGGTCAAGAAATATAATGACTGTTGGACGCCGGTAGGAATGCCTATGTTCTAGAATCTGTCGGAGGGTGAAGATATGATCAATACACCCTCTTCCTGGTCTAAAGCCTGCCTGGCTCTCTCGTGTTTGTGCCTCCCGAGCACCACTCAGTCTACGCATGATTATTGAGCCTAAGACTTTAGATACTATATTAGTCAAGCTAATCCCTCTGTGATTATCACAGGAAGACTTGTCTCCCTTCTTGTATATGGGGATAATCAGTGACTTACACCAACCCGATGGGACTTCTTCTGATTCCCAGACGCTGCCTAGTACCTCAGTTAATGTAGACAGTAAGCTGTCTCCACCGTACTTAAATACCTCTGGAGTCATTCCATCAGGTCCCGCTGCTTTGCCTAGTTTCAGATTGGTGACAGCTTTAGTAACCTCAGTTAGTGACGGAGGACCTGTGTCTATATCCCATTCAGGGAGGTGTTGGATGCTCGGAAGGTTGAGCGTGGCTGTGGGCCAATTAAACTGCTCCTCATAATGCTCTTTCCAACGATCCAGTCGTCTATCCTGGGAGCTAATTATAGTGCCATTTTTTTCCGAGATTGTCTCACTAATGATTTGTCTTCTCCCACCCGTTTCCCTGATGAGTCTAAAGAGTTGCCTATCCTCGAAGCTTTCTCCATCTCTTTGGCTTTTGTCGCCCACCACTGTTCACGGTCCTTGCGGAGACTTTTCGTAAGTTTCCTCTTGTGCAGCTTTCGCTCCTCATTGAATTCGGAGCTCGCCGGAATAAGTCTTCTAGCATCTATCAGTTCGGATGAGGCGGTGGAGATCCAGTGGTTTTTACTCACCTTTGGGTTTACCTTATTCACAGCTTTTACAGCTGTATCTATGGCTGCCTGGATATTTTTCCAAGCTTCTTCAGGGTGAGCACAGCTGTCGAACACAGATATGTGTTTAGCTAGTTCTTCCTCAAATACGGATTTAGTTTCCTGATCGAGCTGGGGACGTGATGGTTGATGTGATTAGTATCTACAACTACTTATATCAATCAGTCAAAAAGCATATAAAATTACATACAGCTGTTTCACGGAACACTTCTTCTAATGAATCAAAAGAAAAGATGAGGATGAACACTGAAAAAGAAAACAGATTGTTACGGGTAATATATAATATAAAATATTCAAACGATGCATTTTCCCAACAACAGATTCCTTAAAATTCCTCCCAACTAATAACGCATGCAAAAGCATGACTAGGTGGTGGTGAAGAAGAGACAAGAAATGAAACGATCAGGGAGAGTTATGCAAAAAATGAATAATATACAACTAATACTCTTCAAAAGGGATCAAAACAAAGAGAGACAGAGGGAGAAAGCGACTAGACATGTGTAAAAAGTCGCTGAGGGATCAAGACAACAGGATAAAAAAAACCAAGAATACAATAGAATGACATAATAACCGAACTACTAAAATTAAGCTAGTTGCTGATCACACACACACACAGCCAACTGGAAAAGACGTCTAGTAAAGTTACCAACAACTGTAGCTTTTTATGCGACTTGACAACAGACTGCTGTTTTAAATTAACTTAAAGATCAAAGATTAAAAATGTAATACACTGAGTAGCGATTTAACTAAAACCGCATAAGGTGTTCACTGTAAATTCATTTGAATTTTGTATATCCAATAAAAAAAACACCTATTCATAATTGATGAAATACTTCCTTTGTTTAGTTTCAAGCTTAAGTTTTGGAGTTTCAGTAGTGATGGTGTTGTTTTCAAGGTGTGGAGTTGCTAGCTTCCCTCTGCTTCGGGGCTTACGAGATTTGGGGGATGCGTCGACCACATGCGTTGTTGGCAAGTATGTTACCATTGAATCACAGACAACCTTTGTTGATTTCGGACTCCCAAACTGAATAGTAGTGTAACGGTAGAACACAAGAGTATTTGATAACAGAATTATTTATTTGCGAATCAATGTAAGGATAAGGCAAAATACATCTACCACATAACAAAATCACAATTTGCACATGTCTTTCATATTGTGTTTGTGCCTCCTTATCTTCCTTTCATGTTTTCTATGTTGTTTCACAAGAATCATTCCTTTTTTTCTCTGTGCCATCAAATCCATTTCTCCGCTATTAGACATCCTTGTAGATGAAATACATATTCATACCTGTATCTACATACTACTTGTAAATTTTGTCTGTGGTACACGCCTCAGTAGTGTGGAAGTCATACAGAATATCACACACACAAAGTTTTACACATAGCGTGATACTATCTAAGGTCCGCTAACTTCATTAGGTCAAAACAATCTGACAGCATATTAACTGTTTTCTCATGAGGTTTTTATAAGTACTTGTCAGTAAACGTCAGGTGGTCATTAAGATATCCCAGTCAAATGCATATCTGTGTGTGTAGGTAACAATCCTAAATTTCGTTCTGAACAAAAAAATGATCTTCACTTGCTTTTCAAAGGAGGTGAGTTCTACATTGAAGCCTACATCCCGACTACAGATACCTTTTTCGAGTTAAGGGCGCCTTAAGACATGAAATATTTAAGCACAGAAAAGTTAATAAAAAGTGTGACGCATTTCTGATGCCACAAACGGTGCTTCTACATCATGTCTGCAATCTTAGGCGAAAAAATGTAACAAACTCACACCTTTCAACCCATAGAGATGAACCTCTAAACCTAAAATCATATCACAGGAAGGTCGATCGATTACGTTATGAAGCTGCACCGACTGAGATGTCTATCAGACGTGTTACGTATATGAAACCACTGCTTCAATTGACAAGCAATGTCAGCTGACAGATTAAGTTGGAACAGAGTTAGAACCGGTCAAATCAAAACATCAATTCATGAAGTGTTCGACTGTTATTTTGAGCCGTAAAAGATTGTCTGTGTGGCTTGAGACGCTATAAACCAGTGGCTAAAGGCTGTTGGTAACATGACAAAGAAACATCTTCAATGCCTCAGATGTATTCGGTCTTTATGAACTCCTAAATCCACTGAATTCTCATTACTCTCCATAGACCTGTTTTTTTTCAGCTGTATATTTCCGTTTACTGTAGTTTCTTTGTATTTTTATTTTTCGTTATGTTTGTGTGCAAAATAGAGTGTGGTAACTTGAACTGCTGCAATTTTCTTTAAAGTTCCAAGTTGAAAATTCAATAATTCAGTCAAGGTACATGTATTGCAAACGAACACTAAAATTAACCTACCTAATCATAAGCAATTTTCCTGGAAATCCTAATACTGAAGAAAAGTGTACATGTAAAAGCTGAACACTCCAATACTTTTTGAACAATAACTAATGAATTCAAAAATGAACGTAATTTTTGGTCCAGCAAACAAAATCGTTTCCGCTTATCAGTAATATAAAATGTTAACGAAAACGTTTTGAATTATAAAGCAATCAATAGGGATTCCTCTGTTTCACAAGATAAAAATTAATTCCAAGGCAATGGAGGACATTGCACAAATTATTATTTGTATACAAAGTTCTGGTTTCATGTTATGTATTACCAAGCATTCCTCTATGTTAAGCAAGTATGTTTGTGTATCTCTTGGCAAACTTTGTTACCTTGATATGATTATAAGCAATAAATTGTACCCTAAACTTTATCAGTAACTATTAATGTATAACACTGTGAGACTATCCAATAAATTATCTCCATGATGGGATTATACTCTACCACAGTGCCCAAGTTCTATTTTTACAAATGTTAGACCTTGGAATCGATGCTGAGGGATGCAGAGTAGTTATTATTTCATAAGTGTTGTAATACAGATGAGGTAATTGCTTTGTGCTCTCCTTTACCCAGTCAAGTTGGAAATCATCTTCAAATGAGGCGCAGCATGTTCCTCCAATGAACCTTCTATGCACCTAGCTCCACAGCAGCAGGTGAACAGATAAATGCACATGGAATTGCATGGTCGAGGTAACATTTCCTTAATATTATAGTGCACCAATGGATGGCTTAAGTAAGTTATTCGTACAGTGACAGAGGAGTTCGAAAACACCTCTCAGCTCGTCTGAGAAGAAGAGAGCATAGAGCCATATGGTTTGTTCATTTTCTAGCAATCTACACGAAAATTATCAAAACAATGTTATTCAAAATTAAACAACACATATTTGCCATTAGTAACATAAAAACATACCCGTCCTACCAATCCCTGCACTACAGTGAACAACAACTGGTGGGGGTGGTATTTCTTGGTCTTCATAAGATTTATATCCCATTCGCTCAATTTCTTTGGAATATGTAGACTGAACGGAGGTGAGTAAATCTAGTAAACCTCCAGTTGTTTGAGGTGTACCATGATCAGGCCATGAAAAGAAGGCAAAGTGTTCAAGAGTCCTCGCTTCATTCAGCTAAACAAATAAATAAATATTCTATCCATTAAAAGGCATTAGCCACTAACAAACGAATACAATCAATTATTCATGGAAAACTACTTCAGCCCATTAAGTGTTATACAGTGTAATCTACAGTTTATGTTCTGGGTGTACTTAGAAAGACTTTTTCAGTAACCGACCAAGCCGATCATCAGTAAAGAAAATATAACCAATTAAACAGTCAAAAGAAAACAATGTAGACCTGCATTGCTAGCTCAATAGTTGAGTGTTCACCAGCCAAGCAGCTGGTTCAGGTCCGACTCATAGCCAATGCATTCCTAAATTTCGCCCAGCTGCCAGAAAAGATGGAAGGTTAGGCATAAGGCTAGCAACTTCAACCAGTAAAAACAACACCACTTTTGAAACTTAAAAGCTTGAAGTCCTATGTTCCACTCGGAACACACAGAAATGAATAAAATATAATCAGTATAAAGCTTACATGAATACATACCGATGGACAAAACAATTAAATTATGCATCTCACTTCATTTTCTTAAAATATAGTGTGGACCAAACCTCCCGACAGAAATACACTTTCATTCCGAACTTATTTATACGCACATGTGCAAGATCCAATTAATTGCATACATAAGGAAATAAAACAACCGGAATGTAAATAAAACAATTAAATCTTTTCAGTAAGCAATAAGGCAAGAGGATACGAAGAGACTAAGTGAGGTGAAGATGAATTGAAAAACTAGTTGGGAAGTAAAACAAACAAACTGAATTGGTAAGCCAAAGTATTACAATCTACAAACTATAACAATGGAACCAGCACGTTATGAACAGAAAGGTATGCAAATTGCGGGGGGCGGGGCGGGGGGAAGAAAGAGAAATGAGGAAAAGAAGAGAGGAACATTCACAAGAAAAAAAGAGTAAAGGAAAGATTTAATTAATGTATACAATACAAATGAGAAATTAAAGTCAAATGAAGCACGAAAAAGATTACAAAAAAACTGAAAGGTCATGCGCAGTAGTATTGTCATTTACGCGTAAGTAAGAAGTAAACGAAAAACCAGTTGTATTGTACATTGAATATTATATACAGGAAAACAAAACACGAATTAGGCAAATAAAGAGTTTCGAAAAAGTAACTGCTTGAAGAGGAAGGATTCAAAATAATCAAAGCGTTACCTATGGTGATGATGATGACGACAAGACTGACAACAAACAGAGCTAACTTCCAAGAATTAGTTTGTAGGGATTTGATTTGTTCCAGTTTTGACTACGGACATAATAAGTTAGAGAACCACTGAAAACCAGAAAGTACTGGAAAGCTATTTCGTACCAGTTCGGGACTCATCGTTAGTACCCACGTGCCAGGGTTCGAATCCAGGTCCATCCTGCTATAAGACTACTGGGATCCAACTCAATGGCCAGCCCGTGAATTTTAACTCTTACCAATCAGTGATTTTAGCGCGACCAACAGCCAACGTCATCGGCGCGTATTTGTCCTCACTCCCAACCGGGGAGACTCCACCGGCCACTCACTCACTCAGAAGGAAACTCTGTCGACTAAAGCATCCAACAGACCCAATTAGGAAACATTATATAATTAACCCAATACCATCTAACGACTTTGAGGGGAACCAAAAGGTAGAGATAGTAGATCTGGAATGGTTGGTACTATTAATTTAGAAAACCTTGAAAAAAGCTCAGCCATTGAAGTGCATTAACCTGTATGCAATCGCATGATAAGATGGGATGGAATAAAAATATTAAAATTTAACATAGTTGAGTGGAGAGAAAGGTTAGTCGTAGAATCTTTGTTTATCGAGCAAACACGAAATACGTACAATCAGAACGATGCAACATCTATCCAGGGAAAATGGTTGAATGGAATGAGAAAACAGGAGGGCGCAGAGCTACATAAAGCAAGTTGGAAAGTCGTATGAGGACACACCAATATGATTATGAGAAACAAAATGCACTCGAAACGTCATCCAGTTATAAATAGTGTATCACAGTATGTTATATCAAATAAATTTATATGACATAGAATTTTAACCTCGCGTAGTTAACTAGCTCGCTAGTTTTCTAGCCGGTCCCAAGCCCGGTTAAAGGGGAAGGGTTGGGCGTGGGGCTAGCAACCCCACCACTAAATCTTTCAAAACGCTAGAGAAACTTTATCACACAGAAAATATATTAAAAATTTGGAAACTTCGAATAACAACAAAGTTATTCTTAACTCGAATCAAGAGGCGAAATGATACAGTGGGCTGGTGAAAGCCTTCGGGAAGACAGTCAGCCAGCAAATGTGTCTTATCTCGATGAAAGCAAGAGTAAGAATAGTTACGTGGGATGTCCGTACAATTCACGAGACTGTGAAGGCTGCCCAGATAGCTAAATAGATGCGAAAATATAGCTTAGAAGTACTGGGTATCTACGAAAGCAGATGGAATGGATGTAGATTGACAACATAGTCAACGGGAGAGTCAATAATCTACTCCGGTGACCCAGACGACAACCACGAGCACACAGAGGCGATCAGTTGCCATCATGATGTCACTAGTGGCAACCAAAGACCTAATGAAGTGGGAACCGATATCAACTAGAATTATGACAGCAAGATTCAACTCCAAAGGAAGGAGGACAACAATTATTCAATGCTACGCACCTACAAACAACGCGGAACAAGACAAGGAAGAGTTTTACAGACAACTACAAACAGTAATGGATATTCCAAATGATAACATCAAAATCCTTATGGCCGATATGAACGCCAAACTGGGACCTGATAATACAAGAAGAGAAACTCATAATGGGTTGAGAGGCTCTCGAAGAAATGAATGAGAATGGAGAACTATTCACAGACTTCTGCGCTTTCAATGATTTGGTGATTGGAGGCAGCGTGTACAAGCACAAGGATATACACCAAGCAAGATGGGTTTCACCTGACGGACACGCTACGAACAAGATAGATTTCATCTCAATCTCAAGGAAGTGGAGACGCAGCCTGCTGGATACAAAAACAAAAAGGGGAGCAGATGTGGGCGCAGACTATCATCTAGTCAACGGAACCTTCAAGGTGAAGCTGAAATCCATGAAAACAACAGGAGACAGACCATAATTTAAGTTCAACATTCAGAAACTGAAACACAAAAGTGCGAGGGATGCCTTGGCTACAGATCAGATCAGAACAAAGTCGGAGATACTACGCGGCATCACTGAGGAAACCTGTGTGGAAGAACATTGGAACTCCCTGAAGGCGATGTTCAAGAAACATGTACAACTGTTCTAGGAAGAAGGAAGAGACGAGACATGGAATGACTGTCAACAGATACCTGGAAGCTAGTGGAAGAGAGCAGAGGAGGATGGTGAAACAGAAGATGAATCAATGCATAGATGGACAACAGAAGGAGAAGCTGAGTTCCATGTACACTGCACTGAATAAAAAATTGAAGAGTGCTAGGAAAGACAAACGACAAGTGTACGACACGCTGGCGACTGAAGCAGAACAGGCAGGCAGCTGGCAAAAGAGAACTCAGGACATTGTAACAGATAATCAGGTCTCTATCGGGGAAGATATCAACCCAGATGATGAGACCAATAAAAGATGCTCAAAGAAACCAGATTACCAGGGAAGAGAAACAAATCAAACAATGGGCTGATCACTTTAAAGGACTCTTGAATCGACCATCATCTGCAAATCGCCCAGAAATACAACACCAACAGTACGCACACAACTGCCTGTCGGTGAACACAAATCCTCCAACGAAAGCAAAAATCCTGAATGCGATCAACCTACTGAAGTCCAAAAGGGGAAAGCAGCAGGACTAGACGGAATCCACCGACCTGAACTACGTATACAGGCTATCTGAATTCCTTTAGACACCGAGAACAAATAGCTAGAGACTGTTGTTGATATAGTTCAAAAACGTTCTCAATAGCTCAGATGCACGCACTCTTTGTGATCTCCTAGATGCACCGAATTCTATTTATTCTCTGTGTAATTCTTTATCCGGTACATTTCCGCTTTTTGTGACTCACAGTGTATTTCTGTTATTCTTTACACGCATGTGAGCTTCATGAAGTATGTGAACTTCAACCAGTACATATTTGTGTAAATTCTGACGTTGACAAAACGGTTCACCTTGTTGTGAGCCACTGAAAGAGGGCTGAAGAAAATAGGATAAAAAGAAGATATGCTGTCAAAGAAAGGAGACCTAGTTAGGCCTCTACAAGAACTGGCGTAGAATCATGCACTTGTCCACTCACGCCAAGTAAAATAACTAGTCGCACCATCCTGGAGAGAATAAAGGATGCACTGGATACAGAACTCCGCCAACCGAAACAAGCTGGATTCAGAAAAGGCGAATCGTGTGCTGATCGAATCGCAACTCTACGCATCATCATCACAGAACAAAGTATAGAACGGCAGTCAAACCTCACTCCACCTCAACTTCGTCGACTTCGAAAAGACCTTCGACAGAGTTGCATGAGAAGTAATTTGGAAACTACTTCAACACTACGGTGTACTTCAAATCTTTGTCAACCTCATTCAACAACTATATGATAATGCCACGTGTCAAGGGATCCTCAACGGAAAAATCAGCCAGGCGTTCGAAGTGCATACAGGAGTGAGACAAGGCTGCCTACCTGTTATCACCGATGATTTTCTGAATTGTGGTGGACTGGATTATGTGTCAGACTGTTGGGGAAGAGGAGTCAGGAATACGCTGGACCACCGACGAGAGGACTCTAGAAGATCTGGATTTCGCAGATGATGTATGTTTAGTGTGACACAAACTCGAAGACTTACAGGCGAAAACCAACAAACTGGCTGAAGAGGCAGCGAAGACAGGACTGCACGTGAACACAGAGAAGATAGAGCTGATGAAGATAACCAATCAACAGCAACAACAACCAGCGCCAATCACCATCAACGGGAGACATTTAACAGAGGTTGCCTCCTTCACTTATCTAAGAAGCACCGTTTCATACACGAACAGCAGGAACGGATGAAGACGTCAAAGCCAGTCAGAATCGGAAGGGCAAGACACGCCTTCATCAACCTGAAAACAGTTTGGAAATCTTCGGCACTCGGCCAACATAGACAACAAGATTCGGATCTTCAATGCACATGTGAAGTCGGTCCTTCTATACGGGTCAGAAACTTGCACTGCATGTGAGTCACGCAAAGGATTTCCAGCAGGTTGCAGACTTTCATCAACAGCTGCCTTCGATGGCTCCATACTGAAGATCAGAAGGCCGGCTTGAAAGAATAAGCAACAAGAAACCCTGGCTTGGAACAAACCAACCAAAAGCCGATAGCTAGAAAAATATGAAAGAGAAAGTGGGGATGGACCGGGCATACATCCAGGAAACCATCGAATGACATCGCGCGCAATACAGCTCATTCCTCGAATGCAATCACGATGGGAAGCGAGGAGTGGGTCGTCCTAGGGTGACATGGAGGAGATCGTGTGAGGAAGAGATGAGAGCTTGGGCAATCGTGGACCCAGCTGAAGAGGATGGCAGAAAGTAAAACAAAGGGATGTGTTGTTGGGGTCCTATGTTCCACTCGGAACTGGAGAGAATAATTATAGTAGTAATATAGAATTTTATTTTGAAAGTCCCTAAAGTTTACTCATACATATTTCATTCCATAGTTTCTCCCTTGCCACATTTCTTGGTGATAGATCTGCATCATGTTTGCATCCAAATAGTAGTGATAGTTGTAGCAATGGTAATAATAATAATAATAATGACAGTTACGGTCATTATTATCACTGTACCTTGAAATCTCAATTTGCATCAAAGCCGTTTTTACTAAGATTGTGAAAAGTCCACCACAGTCCTGTTGATACACCATAGAAACTCTTACTTATGACCCTCAAAACTTAAAATTGTTTAATCTGCGCGCAATCCCGCAATCTAAACAGCTTTCAATAAGGGCAGGTTAAGTCAATAATCAATGAATAATCGATCTTGTTAGAGAATAATATTGTCAAGATTAATTTTTTAGGTCACTAGTTCAATCACGTTAGAAGTAGGAAACTTTAAGGTTTAGGAACAGTACTTTTTCTATGTGTATAACCGAAGGATGCCGGATCCAATTTTTCTCCATATCGCAGATTGAATATACGGATTGATTGCACCACATATCGAAGTGACTTTTTCACAGACTAAAGAATTCAAGAACAACATTTTTGCGCTAACTAGCCTACATTGTGTAAGCAACATTATCATTTCTCACTAGAATAATCACTATAAAGTGTTAGACCTTTCTTAACTGCAACCGTGGATCCCATTCCCCCTATTTAGATAAATGAATATTTGAATATAGCGAAAATATTCATCCAGACATCTATAAAAAACAAAATTAAGCAAAGAATATCCTTTTCGATAATTTCCTCTTCTGGCTCTACAATTATATATATGCTTATATACACAGATGGTTGGAGGAAGTCTGCAGGAAGCCATGGACTAAGTTTCCGTACCTGTTGGCGTTCGTCAGCAAGGTGTATTTGTAGTCTTGGGGCATCTCATGTCCCTTCTAAGATTCGAACTTAGGTCACCCATTGCTGCAGTTACAGACGTTACCGCTGAGCTATTCGACTCGCTACTTACCTCTTGTAGGACTGTAGTGATTACGAGGGACTAGAGGCATAACAATAGTTACTACCTAGTGTCTAACCAAATGTAAACCATATTGTTAATAAAAATGTCTATATGGAAGTGCTGTACGAGGATACATCCTTCACTCAATGTTCTGGACAGTTTCAACAAAATACACAGTGTAATAATCACCCAAACTATGAGTTTAAACCCAGAGAAGGAATACAGTGAAAAGACATCGATGCAGAGACGAGAAGAAGGATCTTGTGAACACTGAACGAGGTAGGATGAAACTAAAGCCTGAAAGTTAGTGATACTATCACGTCGGTTATTCAGTGGTAGAATGCTCGCCAGTCACGTGGCCCATGTTTAATTCCTAGCTGACTCGCTTCTAAACTTCGCCTAGTTTACCAGCCTGTAGTAAGCCAAAAAAAGAGAAAAGGTTGAGTATCAGACTAGCAACTCCATTCTGTAAAAATAACACCACCACCACCACTAGTTTCAAGGTAAGGGATGAGAGACAAAAGGGACAGATGTAGTAGAAATCACACCAATATCTTATTGATTAAGGTTTAAAAGAGATGATAAGACAGACATTCATTATTTACACAAATGACAAAAGGAAAAAAATGTTAGTTAATTCAGTTGCCATTTTACATAACCTTCTATTCATTTTTAAATAAATAAAAAATAGAGAGGATAAGTGAATGGATTATCAGATCATTGAGAACATAATACACAGAGCAGAACTGTGGTCAATTGGGTTTAGGTGCCCGAATGCAAACCACTAAGACACGGGTTCTAAACCCGTCCACCTATCGAGGCTCGGGCAGCCAAGTAATGTCACTAGCCCTCACACAGTAAGTGTAGTACACTGCCAACAGCATGCGACTGCAAGTAGTTTTTACTGTACCTAGTTTGTGGTATTACGCATTTCTCTAGAAAAACTCTACATTTTATTAAGATCATACAATTTTTTTTCAAGGAAACTAATTATTTCAAGTAAAAAGAGAATTCACTAACCTGTAAATTTGTTAATCGCAAAGTTGTTTGGGCGAAATTCCCAGTACTTTCGCATTTTATATTTTCAATTGAAAAGTCAGGAAATGTATCAGGCTTTTTGAACTTGCCATCATTAGATCGGCTAGACGGTGAAACTAGACAACCTGGATGACCAGAACTGAAATATAATTTTTGATTTTCTGAATCTGGCCAATACAAGTAACACTTTGCACGTTGAGCTTCAAGAATTCTAAAAAATGAGGAGGAGACTTGTTACAAGTCAATGCCAGTCACCGAAAATTTTATCACGCTAGTGCTACACTTCAATATTTATTCTACTTATAACTGAAAATGAGTTGAAATAAAATGTCCAGAAACACTTATGATAGAGAAAATAATAAATAAAGTTGCGCAATGATGAATTTCTATAAATATGCAAAAACAATATAAACTTACTTTGTAATCATAACAATAATAGGACAATGATAATCCCAAATCATTTGCCAAAAATCCCCAACAGTTTCAGACAATGGACCTAAATTTGAAATATATGTCAAAAACGACAGTAATTGAAAGAATATATATAAATATATATATGTTTACAAGGATCAATTCAAATAAATTAAGATTCTTTCCTACAATCAAATACAATAATAACCAGAACTTGTTAATGAAGTTTTGTAAAAAGGGTGAACCGTGTAACCAATCATCAATAACTATCAGATCAATTCAAAACAGCTTCTCTAGATTACAAAATGCGTGAAACCAAGTGATCATAATTAGAAATAATCACTAATTAGGACATATAATACATCCTGGCTTTTGGTAGTAACATAAAGTGTGGAGTAGAACTAATTAAAGTCTGTCTCGCCCAACATCAGGACAGATACTAGAATAGTGATGAACGTTCAAGTGTCAGCGGCTTGTATGTACATTAGGTATGTAGTTCTAGCGGCACTGCTAACTGATCACTAGATCTGGGACTGATTAGAAAACACTAAGTGATGATTAGCTTAAGCGCAGTACCGTGAGATGAAGTGCTGTTGTAGAAGGTTATTATCAATTGGTTCATTATCACTAGCATGAAGGGAGTTCAGAAACTTACGACTGTAATTAGTCTGCTTCGTTTTACTGCACATTACTTTTGTCCCTTACTTTCCACATGGTATTTCTGATCACGAACTACCACAGAGTATCAAGTTTTATTTGAATAAATAAGTAAAGAATTAAAAGCAAAAGGAATGACATTACGCAATGAAAATACTTCCTCAACTAAAGACCGTATGCACAGTTTAAATAATGAAATTAACCATAATTTCTTCGCAATGAGGCGTAATAAAGCAAAAATCTATGATAGCGAGTAGCCAAAAAGTGGATACAATTTACACAGACATACCCTGAGTACATATGAAAGCATTCTTCTGTCGATAACCATCAACCCAATTTGCATGTATATAATTTTTTACCAATGTGTGTGTAGAAATCGGTGCTGAATGCGTACGATGAAGACGTGAAGAAAACGACCTCTGATTACGAAATGAAACTGGTTCCTCATTACTACGATCACATGAAATTCCCGAAATATTCGACAATGGTTTTAGATAGACACGTGTTGCATCATTGCAAATTACATCACAATAACGGTTCTTATTCCGGTTGAGAATATGTCTAAATGGTTAGTGAATATTGAAGAAGAAGGAAGAAAAACCACTTCACACTCAGTTATCATATAACGGTGTAGTGCGACCAAAGGACTAGCACCAAAACAGGGGACAGACCTTAGGATACATAGATTACTTCACCAAAGCAAATACATATTTCAACTTACTGCGACACTCTAACAAATAGTCCCACTAGTTTTTGTTTTCCTTTCCTTGTTACTATTACACCGTTGTTCTCATCTTCTATTACACACTAATTTTATATTTCTTATCCTGTGGTGCATTGTTTAAAATGTAAACGCAATGCTGTACTTTTTATCTATCTTTTTTTGGGTGTTGCTTTTTGATTTTAAAATCTTATAAAATTTATGAGGTAATCAGACGCAATATATTGTAATGGACGCTGAAAATTCCATACCTGTACCACAAATACTGTTTGGAATAAAGCTGTTATTATAATAATTATTATTAAATATCAGTTACGTATCGTTTATTCACAGGTCTTAGATATTTTAGAATTTAGACTCATTGTCAACATCCAAGAACCGTAGGATGGATAGCACTACGTCAGCCCCTACGACTGAGTAATATGATGTTGCTTACTCTTCATCGGCCAGTCGAAGCATCTTTGACTGCAGAACTAAGCGAAACAATTTTGAAATTTCTGAGGGAATTAATTCTATTTGGTTAAGAGATATCAGTTAATTGCCTATATGTTTGTTTAGACTAAACTACACAGAACAAAGTTTTCATGTACCAGGATGTGGGTCACAATTATCGTGTGATACATGATATTGCCAAGTTGTCTATGCTGATATAAGTAGGGTGGGACTCAATGCGTCACACACAAGGCTGAAGACCAATGAATTTCTATTAACTGTACAGCAGGAGTTTAATGAACTTTTGAGTGAAAGAGTTGGGTAGTAACCACGCTAACACGGGAATAGTCAAACACCTGCATTATTATTCCACAGACTATTAAATACAAAGTCGATCACATCAAATGAAAGAGAAGTAAAGCCTACAATTGAACTGTAAACGAAAAATTTAATATTATTAACGCAATATATATTTGTCCCTCGTCCCAATTCAGGTGACAAGAATTATGTCAGATACATTGCAGAGTAGTAGTAGTGAAAGAGCGAAACAGCTTAACTAGAGGAATTCAGCTAGTCCGGAATCTGAAAAAACAGGTGATAAGAAATCACCTACACTCTATTATAATGCGCATATATATATATATATATATATATATATATATAGGCATTGGTGTCATATCTTCATTTAATGTTCATATTTTATTGAGCACTATCAGCTTAGCTAGTATTCAAACTCCCATGAAACTGGTTCGTTCCAAATGGAACGAAAACACTCAATAAGGTTAAATAAACCAAAAAGTATAAGAATAATAGTAATAATAAAAAGAGTATTTATTATTTTCATCCATGTATCTGAAGTCAGAGATATGAGGAAAATCAAATCAATAAGAATAAAGTCGAAAAATATTTATCCAAGAATAAGGTAATTCCGAAATTAGGCAGTAGTATGCATCAGAAAATATAACTTTACTCTTGTATATATATATATATATATCGTGCCAACATTTTCTCAGAATTCAATTCAAAGTATTTTAGAAAGTCAATGAGGGAGCAATCAATATTTATTTATCTTGTGCACCATAACCGTTGGCATTGTTATATATATATATATATATATACGATACGGTAAGTCAGGGTACAATAAATCAAGGTGCATACAATATACTTCGATGAATCCGGTGAAAGGCGAAAATACATTTCATCACTGACTATTCTTATGAGCAGACAGTAGTAGAGGTATTTTTGTTGTCACATGGATAATATCTGTATGACAGTCGGTGTAGTAGCAGCACAGTGGAGATATGACTCACTGGCTTAAGGGCTTAACTCAATGAAGACAATATATTGCAGTGAAATAAAGGTGAACCAGTGTTTCATTAATACGAGTTTTATCTTAGTATACACGCCATTTCTGTTAAATGATAGCATATTCACATTATCTTTCAAACTATTGATCATTACTTCACAATTGAAAGTGATTCATTTTAACACATTAAATGGTAAGAGCTTCATACAGGTTTGACGAAGTGAATGGAGACATGATATTTTGGGTTTCGAATCAGTTTATACAGATTATATTATGCTCTTAGGTCTCTATTTTTAATGTTTTCTGTGCATCGAAGTTTCTATAACGGTTTGACAGGTTTAGTGGTGTAGGGTTGCTAGCCCCACGACCAAACCTCCCTGTTTACCCAGGTTTCGGACAGTGTAGAAAACTACCAAGCTGGTGAACTTGGCAAGCACCAGCACCAATCACCATCAACGGGAGACATTTAACAGAGGTTGCCTCCTTCACTTATCTAAGAAGCACCGTTTCATACACGAACAGCAGGAACGGATGAAGACGTCAAAGCCAGTCAGAATCGGAAGGGCAAGACACGCCTTCATCAACCTGAAAACAGTTTGGAAATCTTCGGCACTCGGCCAACATAGACAACAAGATTCGGATCTTCAATGCACATGTGAAGTCGGTCCTTCTATACGGGTCAGAAACTTGCACTGCATGTGAGTCACGCAAAGGATTTCCAGCAGGTTGCAGACTTTCATCAACAGCTGCCTTCGCTGGCTCTATACTGAAGATCAGAAGGCCGGCTTGAAAGAATAAGCAACAAGAAACCCTGGCTTGGAACAAACCAACCAAAAGCCGATAGCTAGAAAAATATGAAAGAGAAAGTGGGGATGGACCGGGCATACATCCAGGAAACCATCGAATGACATCGCGCGCAATACAGCTCATTCCTCGAATGCAATCACGATGGGAAGCGAGGAGTGGGTCGTCCTAGGGTGACATGGAGGAGATCGTGTGAGGAAGAGATGAGAGCTTGGGCAATCGTGGACCCAGCTGAAGAGGATGGCAGAAAGTAAAACAAAGGGATGTGTTGTTGGGGTCCTATGTTCCACTCGGAACTGAAGAGAATAATAATACTAACAACAATGTAGTGAAGTTAGCTGTTGATGAAAGTCTGCAACCTGCTGGAAATCCTTTGCGTGACTCACATGCAGTGCAAGTTTCTGACCCGTATAGAAGGACCGACTTCACATGTGCATTGAAGATCCGAATCTTGTTGTCTATGTTGGCCGAGTGCCGAAGATTTCCAAACTGTTTTCAGGTTGATGAAGGCGTGTCTTGCCCTTCCGATTCTGACTGGCTTTGACGTCTTCATCCGTTCCTGCTGTTCGTGTATGAAACGGTGCTTCTTAGATAAGTGTAAGGTAATAGTCTGTTTCGGATAACTAAGTTTTTACAAGAGCAGCAGAGTAAACTAAAAGAAGTTATCAAAGCCAACTGCTGCAGGTCTTAACAAAGTAAGCTGGACAAAAATTGTAATTAACAATGGATAAAGACTGATGTTATTATTGCACATAAATATTTCAAAAGAGTGGTAAGTTTTTCAACTGAAATTTAAAATGTGTGACTAAGTGAGTGGTTCCATATCCGACATCAATAAGTAATGAACATAACGCATTAGCATGAATCGCTCTGATAATAACTCAATCATGTAATGAACCACTGGTACTTTGATGGTGATAACAGAAAGAATAAATCTATTGAGTTAACGTAAATTAAATAGATGTCGCAACGCTGAATCATTTCCTCTTATTGACGTCAAATCTATCTCTCCGCTACTTGGTGTTTTTTCATGTCGATGAACATCTCTTTATATACTACTAACAAGTCTTATCAGTAGTATATGCCACACTCGTCCTCCCACCAAATAGTTTCGCACGAGCCGCTCCTACCTTCTTGGTTTTACCCGTTCCTGTTCTACCTTGGTCCCGGCTTTTTTACCTGTCTGTATTCATTTCTGCAGTTGGTGTTTACCCGTTTTTGTCTGTTTCCTCTCTTCATTTCTTTCGGTGACAGCGTATGGCTATTCTCACTTTGGAAGGAGTTTCGGTGAACCTGGCCCGCATTTAACTATGTACTTTCTTCCTCTACACTTTACTTGACTGTCAACCTAAAATGTTATGCATCCCATCTTTTCTCTGTTTAGATTTCACGGCGTCTATCTTCTGAATACGCAATACATTCCTGACGGTTTCTTCCCGTTCTCTTCGCAATCTCGTCAAACTCCACTCTTGGTGAAGGGTCTAGTTTGTGCTGTGTTGGCAGTCGTGGTTTCCTCCCATACATCAACTGAAATGGTGACCTCTTTGTTGTTTCCTGGGTGGAAGCACGGTGGGCTAGTAGGATCAATGGAAGGTCTGCCTCCCAGTTAACTCGCTTCCAGGCCAGCTACGGTGTACGGTTATTTCTTTCTGTCAGACCATTCGTTTGTGGATGACATGGTGTTGTTCAGGTCTTCTTAATCCCCAGCTTTCCCAAACGGGAAGTGAATTCTTCACTTTCAAAACAAAAGTCTTAATCTACCAGTCAGTATCGTCTTTGGTGCACCAAAGTTTGTGGCGATGTGTCGAACAGCTGCGTCAGTTCCAGTTCTCGTGTGTTGATCAGGGATCGCGATGGCGTCTACCCATCGTGTAGCGTGTCCCGTCATCACCAGGAGGTGCTGACTGCCACTGGATGTCTGCGCGAACTGACCCTTCCTATTTACGGACCTCAAGTCAACTACTGCCGTAACTGGAATTGATTGCAGAGGCAGTTGTATGCACAGATTTCCTTTCATCAACTGGCAATGCACATATCCAAGTACAAGTTTTGCCAAATCTCCCATACCAGGAGAGTACTTGTTTTATCTAAAGAGATCGGTTGTTCTGGCTACTCTTGCATTTGCTGGCTGGTGATATTTTTGTATCATTTCATGGCATAGAGACTGAGATACTACTACCAACCAGCTTCCATCGTTCTCTCGCCTAGTCAGAGTTCCGTAGGCGTTCACTCTTAGTCGATCTTTCTGTCTGAATAGCGTAGTCAGATAATTACTCGCAGAAGGGTGATTCGCTTCTATTCCGTTAGTGATCACCTGTATTACTTTATTCAGTGTATGGTCTGATTTCTGACTGCAGACAAGTGTTAATGGGTTTTGCTCAAATGCATGGACTCCGTAATTAATCTCCGGTAACTCAGCTTCGTCTTCCTATCTAGATAAATGGTCTGTCAAGAAATTATTTACCAGGGACGTGTGAGATCGTGAAGTCATACTGTGGTGGTGTCTTACAGACAATGTGTGCCAATATTATTCTCACATATTCCCACATTTCAGTTCGCCATTAGCAACACAATACTATATATATATATATATATATATATATATATATATATATATATATATATATATATATACGATTGTACATCTATGAAAATGAAATTGTCGAAGAGAAATTTCTTCGCCAAAATCTGTTTTATGTCTCATTAGGAATTATTAAATAAATTAAAAAAGAGCAAAGATCCCACAGTGGTTAGACTTTAATGTGCTTTTATAGTACACCTTCAAATTTGCATTGGTAATAAATAAAATTCGATTTCCGAAGAAATGCATCGCCGATCACAAATATCCTAAAACACATATCGGAAAATTCTATACCGTCATCGTGTTTATACATTTCAGAAAACTTACACATCACACTCTTAATAATATTAATGTTAGACTTTTGAGCTAGAAAGCAAGACTGTACATACAGCACACAGAAGTGTGCGTACAATTTGAAGACTATATTATTATGTTGTTGGAAGCAAATGCTAAAGTACAAATCTTGTATTCGCAAATCGACTTAAACAGATCAAATCGAGTAGAAAATTTCCAAACCATCCAGAAAAATATGTTTTTAATTACTTCTTAATGAATCCATAATCCTATTCACATGAAGATATTATCGAATGGTTCAAAGTCCTGTACGCCTCAATGGAATATGAAGACACTGTATCACGGAATGCAGTTTGAAAATCTGATCAACGAGACAAAAGACTTAGGACCAAATCCACTAGAAGACTTAAATTATTTGGAATAATCGTTGCTTAGCTGTGCACATCAATTCGTGACACTATGGCCTCCCGAAAAGATACAAATCTGAGCAACCTCTTTGTCCCAATTAAGACATGGCAGGTTCACCTCATCATTATGTCACCAAGTGGACAGCAGAACTGCTGTACATAACAAAATGGCAAGGATGCATCTATTCTTTGCATGATCCGTTCGAAATCTTTATTTAAATAAAATATTTTGTTAGTCAAATCAACTTACGTCTAAAAGAAATGGATTTAACATTGATCACCACAGGGAAAACAATTATAGGTTGCCCAGTCATATGTGGTGACTGAATCTCATTGAAAATTACCATAAAATATTTATTTGACATTAATTTAATAATTCCCATTGTAGCATTAAGAGCAGAATATTCAGCAAAGAGACTCTTTTCAACGAATTTTTTATTTATTTGACATTAGGTAGTTCAAAGTGATTTGGGACAAAGGCTTAATCTTAAAAACTATCAGTGCATCAGTTTTAGTTCATACAAACAAATAATATTCCTTGCCACAGCATATTAACTAAACATACGGAGATTAAATAATTGAAATACGAACCTCTAAAATTTCTCTTCACCTAAATCTGTGATAAGCTAGCTGAGTATAAATCAAAGTCTTTAAAGTGGCATAATAAGGTATTAAGCTTCAATTTGAATACAACTCAATTACCTAGTATAGCCTTTTTATTATAAATTATTTAAATTAATCCCAGCGTGTTAAGAAAATCAAAACAAGATTTTTCTGAACGTTTCGCCGTGTAAGCCACAGCTTCTTCGGATTATATCCGAATAAATCTGCTGAAGAAGCTGTGGCTTACACGGCGAAACGTTCAGAAAAATCTTGTTTTGATTTTCTTAACACGCTGGGATTAATTTAAATAATTTTTAATGAATCAATCTGACTCAGCGCTCAAATTATTCCAGGAAATTCGTAACACCTACGGTCTGGAAACCTATAGTATAGCTTTTTCCGAACACAGCCATAAAATTGTAAAGTCAGTGATAGCAATCAGTTGATAGGACTGTAATGGACAGAAAAGGATTCCAAAATCAAGATGCATTGGTTGTAAGTTGAGTCCCTAAAGAAATGGGTTATGCCTTAATCGAACACTATTGGTGATGACATAGTTATATCCACTGAAGAAAAATAATAACAGGCAACTTAAACAATAAAATATATTTCTGGACAAGTTAAATTTTAAGCACCACCAACTACCAATGAAGTTCGACCGCACTAATGACATTGAAACGTTCATCGGTAAATAATGCTGTCATCATCAATGAAATATGCTCATCGAAGTGTTATGCCATTAAGCGGGATATTCCGCAAGTTTCAGCTTAGGTTTGGGAAGGAATAATTTACCCTTTAAGCCAAGGACAAGTTAGGGTTAGGTCGCCTCTAGAGGCGACATTAAGGTTGGTTCGAGTTAGAGTACAGTTAGTTTAGGGATATTTTCACGTTAGGGTTAGGTTCAGGAAAGATTAGGGTTATTGTTAGCGTTAGAAGACCTAAATAACTGCATGCATAGAATGTGGTTAAATTACTCTATTGGTAAAAGAATAGATCTTGTGCACTGTGGTAGAGTATAATTCCATTGTGGGTAAAATGTATTCTAATAAAGTCTCAGTGTTGTACAGTAATACTTACTGATGACTACGTTTCGAGCACAATTTATTGCTCAGGAAATATTACTGTATTACACTATGAGACTTTATTAGAATAAATTTTACCCACAATGGAATTATACCTTGTTGATACTCCAATCTAAAACTGAGAGCTGTTTTTATCACATGTGAGAGGAATGTATCCTCTGTAACACTTTTCTACAGTTTTTATGCATCTTTTCATAAATATATGTATTTCATACACAAAAATGCCTCCTTCATGTGGTTGGTGCGTTCGGGGTCAATCGCTGATTGGTAGTAAGTGGTGCTTAAAGTTTAACTTTGCCATATTTCTCCAAGAAATCGCATATTTTGACTTGCTATAGAATGTGATACGGTGACTTCAACTGGCACAAGTTGTGCCAGAGACTCAGAAGAAAATCACCAGACTCGACCTGATTGCATACAAACATATGGAATTTAATTTCTTGTAGGCACTGTCAACCTCATATCTGATTCCATGAAGACAACTCTTACATACATCTCTACGAGCCCATACATATATAAAAATTAAGAAATTCATATATGTGAAGGTTTAAGTAACGTGATCACCATTTACGATTACCACTCAAGTTTATGTTCATTTTCAAACTGAGTGTCAAGTTTCAAAAAAAAGTATACTTTGATTTTCAATGATATATAAATCAGCTGTCCAGTGCGTGTTTTCTCGTTTTTGAATAATCTCTGTAACTGATGTTGGTTCGTGACGAAGTCTAAATCACTACAAAAATCCATAATCTGAAGATAAATTAAATACAATTCACTTTCTGATAGACAACATCAACACAGGTAAAATAAATTCCTAAACAAAAAGTATTTACTTGAAGGCGACATGTGTGTCATCATTTTTCAATTTGACAAGAGCAGCATACTCTGAATTCAATCCATTCAAACCGACAGCTTTGATGTGTTGAACCAATTCATCTGGATTCATCCAATGCTCCTGCATATTTATTGTTTGAGTTCCCTCCTCCTCCTGCTCCTCCTCATCATCATCGTCTTCCCCTTCAACCTCGAATTCCTCTTCTTCATCACCAATATCAGATATCTCTTCGGTACTGCTAGATGTAGTGCTGTTTATCTCAATCATATTGGCATCAATCTCATCATATGTCTTTTGTCTTTCTAATAATAAAGCTTCACGGTGGTCATCATTTTCAGAATGACTAATAGTTGAATTCGCGATAGATGCACAAGTGTTATTATTGCCAGTAGCATTAGCAGTGCAAGTAGTAGTAGTAGAGGTATGAATAGAAGATACTAAATCACATTCAGGAAATTTATCCAAACTTGAAGAAAATAAATGTCCTATGTACGCTGAATCCATCTCATTTACACGGGTGGTTTTATCATTTAAAGAAGACAATGCAGACGGAAGTACAGTATCATCATATTGATGAATAGATTCACCCTGTGGTCGTCCAACTGCCCAAGGTGGAATATTTCCTGAACGATCAACACTATCAGTTTTAAGTGTATATGCTGTAGGAATGAAAATAACATTGAATATGGTCTTAGAGTTAATTATGTACACAGCAATATATAAAAAGGTATCCTGTGACTACGAAACACTATTAGTGATAGATGAAGAAGCAATGTTCTTCATTACGTGACAAAAAAATTACAAAGTTCATACTGAAAAACACAATCAACTTCGATAAAGGCCTAAACAGTCTAAAACGAAAACAGTAGTAGAAAAAGTGAATTAAGTTTAGTTTATACTCAGGTTATTTAAACTTTACGACAATGAATGTGATGATGGGAGAAAAACAGATGAAAGGTAACTGATATGTAATCCGTTTACTGCAATTATTAACCAATAAATCAGTTCTCATAGTTAAGTGTATCGCTGAATCTATATTCTCTATGAAAAACATGTTTATGTCTAATGCCACATAAACTCAAAGATCAATAGGTGAAAACCAAGTTGGCAGAAAAGGCAGGCAGCAAAAGCAGCAATTCAAGTTAACATATGGAAGACAGAGGTGATGAAGATATCTAACCAACAACAACAATATCTATCAACAGAACAAATCCAAAGGAAATCAACTCCTTCACTGATCAGGGCAGTATCGTTTCAGCTACAGGCAACACGCATTAGGATGTCAAAGCAACGATTGGAAATGCAAAAAAGGCCTTTATTAATTTGAAATGTGTCAAAATCTGGTGCATTCATCATAATGAGCAGGATTCTGATTTTCAACACTAATACCAAGACAGTGCTTCTATATAGTTCAGAGGCTCAGTGAGTCAAAATAAGCATTTCCAAGAAGCTGACGATCTTTATCAACATCTGTCTTTTCTCGACACTGAAGATCAGATCGCCAGAAAGTATTAGCAAGGAACTCTGGCAACAAACCAACTAAGAACCTATTGCCCAACAAATATGCCGACGAAAATAGAGATGGATTGAACTGTTCAGTGACAGCAAGCGTCAGACTGTAGAGTGGAAGCCAAAAGGAAAATGATTAATTAGACGTCCAAGGATCACATAGAGGAGGTCGGAAGACGAGGAGATGAGAGCTTATGGGCAATCGTATAGCCAGGTGAAGAGGACTGTAGAGAACAGGATGAAATGGATATATGTGCTGCTGAAGACCTATGCTCCACTAGGAACCCCAGGGAATAATAGTAAGTAATAACAGTGATAATGAAACGCTTGTGATAGAATATTTAACACACGTTTTCATATGTTAAATGTAAACTGTTACTATAAGGCTAATGTGTCAAGGGTGAAATCATTCAACGTCTTCATTAGTCTACACTTTCCTGGAAAATCACATCACAACCCGGTAGAAACAGAAATCCAATGGAATATCAGAAAAGATCAAAATATAAAAAGCCCAACTGACTTTCACCAACCAACAAGAATAAAAGTGAGAGATTCGAACACTTATTAGAAGATGATTGGACTGTATAGTGGGGATTTCCTGTATACACCTATAAAAGTGTATGCATATGAAATACTAAAAAAGGTTTTACGTATTCATTTACTACTGCTTCCTTTAAAAAAATGGTAAGACTACTAAACGAATGATCAAAATTAAACTTAAACGCTTGGACAAAAGGAGGAAGAAACTAAGTTGATAAGGTTTTGAATCTTCATAGAGTTAAGTAGTTGAATATATGCCATATAGAATCAGTTTGTATCTCAATAGGTGATGTTAAACAAATTAAGATCGGACTAAAAGGAAATTAAAAAAGTGTCTACCTTTGAAATCATTGGTTTTTGGTAATCAGGGAAAGACAATGTTTTAGCCTAGTATATGTAATACAACTGAAATAATGTCAGTGGTATTGATACTTTCACCATAGCTTTTAAGTAAGGTGTGGTAAATCTAAAACGACTTTATTTCTTTGAATATGGCTTTCTTCTATCCGGTAGTATTTTCCCGACTGTTGATACATATACTCTACTGGTTTGACAGGTTTCATTTTGATGTGACGATGTGACTTGACTCGATACTCAATTGTACTAAAATCTTGTGCTTGCTGAACCAGATGTTATCAAACGACAAAACCACAATTTGCGTTTACACACAGCTAGCGATGAACTGCATATATTGTGTGACAGCTAATAAAACTACTTGGATACCCAACCCAAACCTAGAGAGGTAGAGTGTAGTCCGAACACGTGACCTCGTGGTTAAAATCGCATTAAAGAGCATAAACCAATGAGCCACAGTTCCACTAAACGGAAGAACAGTGTCATATCAATATTTGATTGGACACTAACTTGTGTCATGTGTCTTGTTCTTTGTTTACTGCAGACTGAATTCAATCAGTCAAGTGTGCAATATGGCCACCATGCTAGTTAGCAGATACTCCTTGCTGATGAGTCCCAACAAGCACGAAACCTGGGTCCAAAACTTCCTACCGATCGCCTCCAACCATCTATTAACATATCAGTCTATTACGCCACCAACATTTAAATATTTAAAAGAATACCAGTAAATAGTGAATATGTCACAGTATCAGTCAATATTACTTCATGAGTATGATTAGGTCGGATAAACACAAAAGATGACATTCATCTTCAAATTTGTGAAACTTTCGGTGGCCTTCTTTCATCACCGGACTACCCTCATTTTTTATGCATAAAAATGTATCGTACTGACTCCCGTTTCATATTGTTTTAATCATACAGTCATCTATATGAATCACAATCTACACTCACGCACATTTTCATACGTACCGCTACGAATCTTTTGAAGGAAATGGAAAAGCAAAATTGTGAGGTACTGAATTATGCTGCAGATGGAACAATATTACTCCAGATATATCCATTATTGTATTACTTGAAGATCCCGAAAAAGCGTTAAATACCTTGCAATGCAACATGATGAAAATTCTATTTTGTGTATAAACACATTTTTCATAATAAGGCTATTATTACTATTGTAATTCGAGTGATTCAGTTTCTTACTCATCTCTATGTTCGATCTGGCCAACACTTTTTGGAATATTTTGAAAAACAGTCGACTAGTACTTGGGAAGCATAATACAATCCTTCAAATAAATATACATACCAGTAATTTCGTGAAATATATGACGACGGTTTTCATTATTACAAATAGTTCGATCACCGATTTCATCTTGTGCAAGTGGTGCAGATTTATTTCGCATATGAGGAAAATTTGTTGAATCAAGAAATTCAGCATCTGCTAGAGGTAAATCTTGATCTTTGGAAGTTGATAAAACTGAGATCTTCTGTATAAACTTTGATGATGCTTGTTTTTCAGAACTACTTTTTGGTATACCTGATGTTAGTAAATTGCTAACAATTTTATCGCTTGTTGGGCTGCATTTTGTAGAATGCACACTAGCAGATCCAGTTGAAAAAAAAGATGGTGTAGATGAACAAGATGAATTAACTTCAGCTGCATTCTTAAAGTTGAGTGAACTTTGTTTAGCAGTGAAGATTTCAGAACCTGATGGAGAATCAACAGAGTTGTCTGCAGTAGGTGTGACAGGATCAACGCGTATTGATGAGACATCTTCGACAAAACCTATACTATGGCTATCACCAGAAGTAGTTACAGTTGACGGACGACTAGCAGCTGGATATGAGTCTGAACGATCTAACAATTTAACAGTAGGATCATTGAAACTCTGCATAGTTGTTAGTTGTTGACGTTTAGCAACTGTTGGAGGGGTAGGTGTTCCACCATGTTCTGAATTTGATAATGTTTGACGTTTCTGATCATATGTACGTGATTCGGAGTAATTGAAGGCTAACTTTGGATTGTAATTCTATGCACAGAAATAGAAAGAAAAAAATAGACCAAGTGAACTTTCCTTTCAAACACCTATGCCTACAGTACGGTATGCAGTAAGAGCATTACTAAAGGTTTGTGTGGAATTTACCAACCTGCATCATCACTGGTATAGGCGTGATATTTAACTATCTATCAAAGGATGTGTGTATTGTTCAGCAGTTCGCTCCGTCCTCCTTTATGGCTGTGAGACGAACACTGAAAGTGGAAGACATGAAAAGACTAACTGTCCTAGATCATAGGTGCCTGCGTTCTACCTCCGGTGTTAAGTCTCTCTGTCTGTTTTCGACATAGAACTTTGCACAAATGTGCGGAAGTTCAAGTCGCCACATTCCGTGTAGCACGCGAAGCAAGAGAAGAAAGTACAAGAAAAGCATAATAGAGACAGTAAACAGAGGTGTGAGACAAAGGAGTAATAAAGAAATACAAAACAGTTTCATTGAAGATCATAAGTCACAGGGAGTGGATGCATCTGCGCCACTGAGAACGGTTTTGAGCCATGTCACCAATTGTTTCCAACCATAGATTTTTACCGTCCCGAGGACCCCAGCCTGGAAGTCTACACCTTTCTACGTGGCTTAGACCAACTGTTGTGGATTTCATTGACTGATGCCAAGTTTTTGTTTGACCGCCGCTAGCTTTTTTCCAGCCTGACCCTATATCCGCTAACATTGCTCGTCGAGGGAGGCGATGGCTTGGCATACGTAACACATGTCCTAACCATCTCAGTCTTTGTAGCTTCACGACTTCGTCGATTGATTTCCCCTGTTTACCTAGAACTCTACGCCTAACCTCCATTTTGCTCACCTTATTATGCCACTTTACACGGGAAATAGAACGCAGGCACCTATGATCAAAGACAGCTAGTCTTTTCATGTCTTCCACTCTCACTGACCAGGTCTCACAACCATAAAGGAGGACGGAGCGGACTGATGAGCAGTACACCCGCCCTTTGGTCGATAGTCGAACATCTCGTCTACGCCAGAGTCGGCGTAAACTAACAAATGCGAAACGAGCCCCTTGTATTCGTGCTGAGATTTCGTCAGAGATCAGCCCGTTGGGGCTGATGGTACTTCCCAAATAAGTGAAGCGGTCAACGTGCTCTACCACTTCACTTCCTATTTTTAAACTAGGCGTCGATGTAGTCCAGTCCTGTAACATCATCTTGCATTTGGCGGGAGCGAATCGCATGCCAAACATTCGTAGATTGCGGCTCAAGGTGTTCAGAAGACTCTGCATTTCGTCAGAGTCGTCGCCTAGAAGGACTATATCGTCTGCATATTCCAAGTCAACGAGATTATTCCCCGGTAGCAAGTCAATCCCTGAGTCACTGAAGTCACCTAGGGTTAAGTCCATTAACACATCTATGATGAAGTTGAATAGAAAAGGAGATAATTGGCATCCTTGACGGATGCCGCTAGTCGTCATCAGTTCAGATGACAACTCGCCGTAAGCCCTCACCTGGCTGTATGAGTACGAGTAGAGTGCCTTAATCAGTGCAATATATTTTCTTGGAATTCCCTTTACAGCCAAGCATCTCCAGAGAACTTCCCGATCGACAGAGTCGAATGCTGCCTTTAGGTCAAGAAATATAATGACTGTTGGACGCCGGTAGGAATCCCTATGTTCTAGAATCTGTCGGAGGGTGAAGATATGATCAATACACCCTCTTCCTGGTCTAAAGCCTGCCTGGCTCTCTCGTGTTTGTGCTTCCCGAGCACCACTCAGTCTACGCATGATTATTGAGCCTAAGACTTTAGATACTATATTAGTCAAGTTAAATGGTATTATAAGGTGAGCAATATTGAGATAAAGTACCGGTCGAGTGTTAGGTAAGGAGAGGAAATCATTAGACGAGGTAGTGAAGCAGCTGCATCGTTTGAGATGGTTGTGACATGTGTTACGCATACATCTCTAGCCATCGCCTTCCTCGATGGGCAATGTTAGCTGACATAGATTCAGGTCGGGAAACAGCAAGCGGTGGTCTAACCAAAACATGGCATCGATCAATGAAATCCACAACAGTCAGTTTAAGCCACGTTGGGGGTGTAGGCTGGCTTCCTGGTTTGGGTACTCGGGATGCTAAAAACCAATAACTGAAGACAATCAGTGACATGGCTCAAAATCGTTCTCAATGGTTGGCGCTTATGCATTCACTCTTTGTGATCTGCAGTATTCATTAAATCACTATCGTTTTTCTGTTACTATTCTTTCTCCTTCGCATTTATGTTTATCATCGTTTTTTGAATCTCGTTTTTCTTTCTTCTTTCAGTACTTCATGGAGTGTGGCGAATTGAACTGCTGCACTTCTGTGTAAAGTTTTGTATTGAAATCAGTCAGTCAGTATGAGCATCAAATGAAATCACAGTTAAGGCAGCATTATACTAAATGGTGTCCAAAGCTATTAAATCTAAAAGATGAGGGTAACAGACAGTTACAGTTTATATACAAACACAATGAGTAAACAATTAGGATTTATTAGAGAAATGTTAGAATACGACCTAATTGCAACAAAATTAAATACATATTATTCCATCTTCTAAATTTGTGTTTACAATCATTAAAAAGCAGAGAAGGAGTAGAATGAAGCGTTACTCAACAGCGTTAAAATACAAGCTGATCAGTTGCCGGTCTGAGGCCGAATCTCCTCTCTTCCTAGGAGTAAACTAGATGGTTTGGAAGTCAGTCGAACAAGAATCGAACTCGGACCTCCTGCATGGCTGACTAGCGTCCTACCTTTGAAGTCTAAACTACGAGGAAATCTATGCATTTATACGTTATAAAAATACCTATTATTCATATTGATGATGAGGATTATTTATAGAGGATCAAATATTTTGATATGCTTGTGTTCCCTCAGTTGGGTGGTTTCGTCGCGAAGCTTTCATTGTTTTTCTACATGTCTTCTGCGCAGACTTCAGTACAAAGTCAATCTTATTTGAATACTAATCAAATCATCAGTCAAAATTAAATTAATTTCCACTATAATTTAAAGGAATAACTTGTGAATAGGCCTTATATCTTATGTATATGTGCAAAACAAATGCTGTTTAGTCAATGAATTATTTAGTTTTTTTCCATGTACAGGTGCACCCGCACACACACACACACACACAAAATACTGGCGGTGCATAATGGCATCCAGTACTCCCAGGTTTTCCAATGGTTCTCTAACTAATGTCAGCTCATGATGAAATCCTGAAACCAATCAAATCCCTACAAACCAACACTTGAAAACTATATTTATATTGTATTCGTGTATATATGCTACTAGACTATTGTAATGTATTTGTGTATATGTATGTATGTACGTATGTATGTATACATGCATAAATATTTTCGGCAGAAAATTTCAAGTCTTCTATATAATTTCATCAGAAATAATCATTTATAATACACGTCAAGTGTAATTTGTTGAATACTTACAAATTACTCCTAAATAATCATACTGGACTAATCTAAACAGTTTTTCTCTTCTCTTTATTCCTTTGCTTTTCGGGTGGAACACACAGGGGGCTTCAAGCTTCATTAGCTGTAGTGTTGTTTTTCTAACTGGATGAGATTGCTGGCTTCGCCACCAACCTTCCCTCTATACAGGCTGTTACGTATTCGTCGTCAAATTATTGTTATGTACTGGTCGAGAATTTAATAGTCCTGACGCAAGAAAGACGGAAATCAGAAGACCACTAGGTTTGCGATGATACTTCTATTTTCCAAAACACCAGGAGAATCAATGTCACACAAGAGTGTGAGAGCGAAATATATGAATGTCCGAACAAGTGTGTGAGCGAATATTCAAAATGAACAAATCAATAGACAGTCTTAACATGATTGGCTAATTATAATGGAATATCGATCCATATATACATAGCAAAATATATCAGACTGTCAAACAAAACACACATATTATATGGATACATGTCACCAAGAACAGACTGTCAAACAAACACGCATATTATATGGATATATATATATATATATCACAGACTACGCAAGGTTTAGGAGTGAGCCGATCAGGAATCGAACCTGGACACAACGTTCGTGATTGAAGAACATCGTACAACTGAACCACCGACGCACCAGTCCAAACAGTAAATGATCATTTATTTACCACGTTTGCTGCAACTAGTTAGTTAGTCGTCTGTGAAGTACATCGTTCAAGGTGAAAAATTCACTAGTTTCCTTTCAAGAACCAAAAAGAACACAGTATGACTTAATAGACACCGTAAATGGCACCAATAGTATATATCATACTGCATTTCCTCTTCCTTTTTGATACCACCATTTACACTGTCATCGATTCAGTATGTACATTACAAGTATGTTACTATTTACCAAAATATCTTCTTGACAAAAGGAATAAGTATTTCCCAGTACCATTAAGTGATAAAGAGGACGAAAAGAATACTATTAACTTATTTTAAAAGGGAGATTATTCCAACTGCTAATCAGATATTCGTAACAATTAAGAATGGTTTAAAAAAGATTGACCGCAGCATTAATCACTTACCTTTCATCAAAATATACAGTATAAACTAAAAGCTTTAAAGGGATGAAAACTATGCGATCAAGTGTTACAAAAAATTCACAAGACATCGGGTGAACAATTATAAACGTCTTGATAGTCAGATTGCTACAAAAAAACTACATCAGTAGTCACTAAACTGAGCTGTTCATTCGTTTAAAGGTGTATCATTTTCATTGCGAAATATAGATAAGATGAGGTCAAATGATGTAGTTATACAACTGCGGGAGGAAACCACGGGATGCAAAACAATATACCTATCTTTAATATACGTTTGTTTATGCATCTACTGTGGGAATAATAAACATAATATAGAAGCAACACAATCAAGCAAAGGCAAAGCTGATGATGTCGCCTAACTGCAAGTATAACGGGTGTCAAAAACGTGATCTATCAGCTGAAAGCATATTTTGTAAACGAATAAACTCCACAAGATTGATCGACTAAATTTCAACGTAGAAATTCGCACAAAATCGCAGCAGTTCAAGTTTTCACACTCCATGCAGCACACAAAAATAGTGAAGAATAAAAATTCAAAGGAACTATAATGAATGTAAGGGCACTCGAGAGAGAGTAAGTATATGGACAGTAATGAGAATTTGATGGATCTAGCAGTTCATAAGGAGAGAATGAAACTGTCCCTCAAAAGATTTTAAACAATGTCACCAAAAGTTTCAAGCCATTGGTTTTTTAGTATATCAGTAATCCCAACCAGGCAATCTACACCTCCATACGCGCCTCACAGCAATAGTCTCACACTTCATGGATTAATGTCATGCTCTGATTTGACCACCTCTAAATCTTCTCAAAAGTAATTGTATATCAGCCAACATTACCCAAGGAGTAAGTTAATACCCTGGCATGTGTAACATATGTCTTAGCCATCTAAATCGGTACAGCTTCACAAACCGTATGGATTGATTTTCCCTGCTTGCCTAACACTACACTTGACCTTAATGTTACCCAACATATAACGCCTGTAGTAAAACATAGCTATCCTCATCATATGGTCCATTTTTAACGGCCGCGCCTTACAGCCACAAAGAAGGAAGGAGTGAACTGCTGCGCATTACACATGCCCTACGATCAATGGCTGGATACCATGTATACGGTAGATGATGTGAGTTGGCAAATGCCATATGAGCCAATCTGCGAATTCGTCTACAGTCAGTTCACTACAGCTGATGCGACCTTCCGATTAAATGAAGTGGTCAAAAAGTTGAGCTATTTCACTCCCTATCCTTAAACTAGGAGTTCGTGCAGACCAGTCATGCAGCATCATACACTCCACATGGAAGAATCGCTTGCCAAACATACTAAGATTTCTGGTCAAAGCATTCAGAAGACTCTGGATTTTGTCAGCGTCTTCACCCAGAATGAATATATTATCTTCACGCTCAAAGTTGACAAGGCTGCTCTGATAATAAAAAAGTCCCTTAGTCACCGGAGTCGACCAGGGTAACATCTCTCAGTACATCTCTGATGAAATTAAAGAGGTGGAAACACTGGAGGTCCCTGATGGATGTAACTGCTTGTCGTCACTTCAGATGACAACTCTCCATAGACTCCTACATAGCTGCATGAGTTTGACTAGAGTTGTGGGCACTTCCTATACTACCAGACATTGCCACAGCTCCTCTGGGTCAACATAATCAAATCTCACCTTCACGTTAAGAAATATGGAAAGTGTCAGGCGCCAGTAAGGTATGTCTGCAACCTAAAATCTGCCAAAGGGTGAAGATTTGATCAATATGCTCTCGCCCGATCCGAAAACTTGACTAGTTTTCAAGGGGTTGTTTCTTCCGATCACCGTTTAGTCCGCGTAGGACCATAGAACCTAGAACTTCATATATTATGTTAGTCAAGCTAATCCAACTTTGATGATCATAGGAAGACCTCTCTTTTTATAAACTGGGATAATATCAATGATTCACGCCAGTCTAACGGGACTATCTCTGACCTTCAAACACTACTTAACATCATAGTCAACTCGATCAAGAGTTCATCCTCACCATTCTCAAACACCTTTTGAGTTAGACAGTCATATTTTGCTAGTTCACCTTGTAATAGACTAGAGACAACTTTTGTAATCTCGGTAACAGTTGGAGAACTGATGTCTACATCTTATAGGAATGAAAACCGAAAGGGAGGCGAACTAAAAGACTACAGGATAATATGCTAAAACAATCCATTGTGTGTATCATGAGACAGGATCAAAAGAGAACAGATGCATTGGTGCATGTCGAAGTATCGTAAAGCAATCTACATTTTAATTACTTGAGTCATCTACACAATAAGATTATAATACACTTTTCCATTCCATAGACCAATTTACAGCCAGCAAGATATGATGTACTGCTCTTTTTCTTCTATCTGCTTTTTAGTTTGAAATGAGACTAAGCTAAACTAATCAGTATTGTTGGTTGATTAGTTGGCTAAAGTACGAACCATAAATTAAATATTTAAATTCAATAGTAAACCGATTTTTATAATTCCCCTTTTAGTTAACACTAAAACTTAGAAAATATCAAATTCACTAATATGTGACAGCAGTAACAAGCGAAGCGTGTGCCGTGCGATGACTGCGGCGAAAACTGTACAATACTAGCAGATAATCTGAAACTATAAAAAAACAGCCACAACTTGAACTAATAAACTAGTAAGGCATTATTGCAGTTTTACCACTAGGTTTTCTTCGCGAAAGCAAGTAATAATAGCAATGATTCAAATTTATGAAAGTTAAGTAACTACGGAGTTATTTTGGTTGATGGTGAAACTATTAGTGGAATTTATGGCGTGCATTTCATCCCATGTGGGACTCTTCAACTGGATGTACCTTCATTCTCAATGACTGATGGTGTTCCTCACTGAGACTCGAACCCTGAACCCACCATTTCAAACCCCAACGAAGGTACATCCAGAGGACGAGTCCCAAATAAGACGAAATGCACATTATGGACACAATTTTTAGTTCCCGTCAACCAAAGTAATCTTACGGTAATCATTAGACAATGTCGAAGCGCCCGTTCTAGGAACCAGTATATTTCAAAGAGCACACAGCATTTCGTTCCAATGTAATCTACCAACAGAAAATGCAAATTATCCTGGACAACTAAGTAGCTATATTATGCATGTGCATGTGATCTACTTGGTACAATAAGTAGTAGTCCGGAAAGCAAGCATAATTTTATGGAACTATACACTAGCGACTGATTGAGATGAGTAGCGGTATACCACTCACATCACTCAACTGTTCAGTCGTCTAAACTATCAAACGTGTAACGTACTAGATTAAAACTTTAATGACAAAAGTGACTTACAGTATCGTTTGTCTTCTCCAAGTTAGATGTTGGCAATGTTTCCATGATTACGTCAGGTGTACATTCCTCCATATCAGAACTTTCAGCTTCACCTGAATACGAACCGGTCAATGAAAATGGATCCAAGTCTCCAATACTTATTAAGTCATCATCATCTATTTGACTGTTGGATAAGGAATCATCATCACGAAATTCTGAATCACTCGAATCGGATATTGATCCACTAGAATCTGAAGGTGGGCCAAAGAAAGCAGCAGCTGTTTGAACGCGATGATCATTGGGTAATGTAGCCTGAACAATAACATGAATTATGAAAGCGTTAGAAAGTAAAAAAGCTAATATATATATATATAGTTGTTCCCGTTGTGATGACCACTGTCTTTTTAACATCGCTTCGGTATCTAGGGATTTCTTTTTTGTTATTAAAACCAAGTAGTTTCAGTTGGTTGAAGATATGAAGAGACAGGGTATTTGTAACTGTAAGTTTGGTCCCTCAGCTTATTACTATTGTTCCCTTGGGTTCCTAATGGAACATAGGGCTTCAACTGCACATCTCCACTTGCTTCTGTCTTCTGCTGTACTCTCCACCTGCATCCATGTTAGTCCATAGTGTTTCAACTTCTCTTCACACCATCTCCATGTCACCCTTTGACGTCCCACTCGCCGCTTCCCTTTCGGGTTCCACTCCAGCGATGGCCAGACGCTCGCGCGATGTCACCCAGCGGCCTCCTCACCGAGTGTCCACTCCACCTCCACTTTCTCCTGCATATTTGTTGGTTGGCGATTGGTTCTTGTTTTGTTTCTTCCCATAGTTTCTTGTTGGTGATTCATTCCGGCCCGGCCATCTGACCTTCAGTATAGAGCGAAGACAGTTGTTGATAATGGTCTGCAACCTGTTGGAAATATTCTTTGTGACCCGACAAGGTTTTGATCTGTATAGAAGAACTGACTTGACGTTTGTATCGAAAATCCGAATTTTGTTGTTGATGCTGAGTGACGAAGATTTCCAGATTGATTTCAGGTTGATGAATATGTTTCTCGCCTTCCCGATTCGATTCTCGATTTGACATCCTCGTCCGCTCCTCCTGTAGTTGAGACAATGCTCCCTAGATAAGTGAATGAAGTAACCTCTTTCAAATCCCTCCCGTTGATGGTGATTGGCGCGGGATGTTTCTGCTTTTGTTGTTGGTTGGTTATTTTCATAACCTCCGTCTTGTCTATGCTCACTTGGAGTCCTGTCTTCGCCGGCTGCTTCTTCGACTAGTTTGTCGGTTTTCGCTTGTAAGTCCATCAGCTTAAGTACAGCAATATGGTCAGTAGTAATGAAGTTAAGCATGGAGCGCTATATAAGGTAAGATGGGGGAGTCAACAGATACGGTTATGATTGTATTACGTATGCCAAGTAATCACACTTCCTTTGATAAGTAATGTTAGCTCAAAATAGAATTAAATTGGGAAAGGGTTACAGTTAATTAGACCGAACTAAATCGCTATCCCTGAAATTATCGACTGCTGGTTTGAGCCTGTTAACTGTCTGGCTAAGTTCCTCCGGATGCGGAGAATCAATGGCTAGAGGCTGTTGATGACGTGACAGTGACGTAAAAGTACTCTTTCATTGTTACCATCCTCATATTCCTAAAATCCTTACTGACTTTCACAAAATTATTCTTCCTCAAGTGCATTTTCATCAGTTGTAGTTTCATAGCATTTATTTTATCCACTTTTGCACTTTCAACTTTTCAACAAAGTTATCAGTCAGTTATATGGGCAACTTTAATTGCACTTTTTAAAACCTTAATGAAGCGAGGCAAGATTTAAGAACAAAAAGCATTTATACCAGACAAAAAACGGCACAGTATTTGGCGTGTAAAACCCACCTGTTCAGTTTCTGTCATCAACCATCCCGTTCGTAATAAGGCAGTTTGAAGCCAAGCATAATGATCACGCTTCAGAGTAACAGGATCGGGATGACAAAGTGCTTCTAGTTTTGTTCCAGGTGAAGGTCGTAGTACATATACACAATCCTGGAATAACTCTCGAATAAACACTCTCATTAACAAAAAAGAAGCGCGGAACCAGAGAGGAGCAGTTAGGACCAATACACGTCGAAGACGTACAGGGTAGGAACACTTTGTATTGAAATACATATTTTTTTAAAGGATAAAATATAAAGCTTATTTAGTCACCAAAAAGGCCCCACATTAATCTCACAAAAGCGTCAGATTCAGAAATAAATAACACCATTAAAAACATGTTAAACCTGATGAGTATTTAATTCCTAAGGAAATGGTTTCAAAAATGCACAACAAGTGAATATAAACAATTGTTTACCCAGCTAACCGAGACGTTAGAGATTGTAACGAGACAACTAGCTATCTTACAAATTAAACATTTGATAATCACAAATTTGGTGAAGACGAAAGTTTAAAGCATACAGCAGGTGGTCAGAGAGCAGTATTGCTTACATTTAATGAAATTGTTTCAAGCCAGTGGTTTTCAATGACCGATTACGTGCAGACCTACCTAATCTTAAGAAACATATGATAAGCTTAATCTAACCGCCTATAACATTCAGTTTTTTTACGAGACAAATAAATGATGAAACTTCATAAAAACACAAGATATAGAAAACTAACATGGAAACTATGTATACCGGTTGGAGAAAGTGAGATAAACATCTGTCTCTTCCCAGTCAACATTCACATATGTACGATAAAAACGCCTAGTGAAAGGTCAAATGCATCAGAGACACCTGAAAGACGCAAGTGTTACTTCGTATGTTTCAGTCTCAAAACAATAAGTTTCCTACTCAAAATGGCAGTGGGTGCAGTCAGTAGTTTCTAGTCTCATTTGTTAAGTTTGTGTCAGTAATGGGAATAATTCACTGACAAAAAATATTCGATAGGAACAGAAAAATAATCGAGATAATGAAATACAGACACTTTTGGGTCGTAAAACAGCACTTATCATTAAATACAAACCCGTATAACGATTTTTTTGTTTTCCTTCACGTTCATAGTAGAACATAGGGCTTCAAGCTAGAAGGCTTGAAGTTTCTGTAGCAGTGTTTATTTTTACAGGATGGGGTTGCTAGCCTCATGCTCAACCTTCTCTTTTTACCAGCTTTATTACTGGCTTAGCGGGGTAAAGGAGTGCGTCGGCCAGGGATCGAACCCCGGACTATGTGAATGGTCGGCGAGCGTGCTAACCGCTATGCCACTGACGGATATAACGATTAGTATCACAAATACCATTTCGATTTTGGCTTCCTATGGAGTTCAGAAATCAAAACGAGAATCTGAGGATATGTTTGGTGATACAGCTAAATTTTAAATTATATGAGACAGTACAACCACTTAGGTCAGAAATAACACAGCTATTATTCAAACAAAAGAATTTTAAAAGGGTCTTATACACCAAACTGAGTAATCGTATAACTTTAGCACCATAGATTATATATGAGGCAAAAAAGCGAATTATCTTCCTCTCAAGTACATATGTCGAAACGAAGTTCATAATAATCCACAATCAACATCGACATTACACATGACCGAAAAAGTATTCTGAAGATATAGACCTGACCAGTTATGATTCCATAGATCAAATACCTCAAGCTATGTCAGAAGAGTACTCGATAAATGCAGCATTAGAGTTTTCTTTAAAACATCAGACACTAAAAAGTAAACTTGTTCAAGTGAAAAACCGAATCCCAAAGAATGTATCTATAAAACCAAAATGCCTAAAATGTGATATGACAGATATGGGACAGACCTCGCAACAAATCACAATCAGAAGAAATGAACACCATAGAGACTCTATTCGGCCATTGAGAAGTTCAGTGGAATCGGAAAAGCCACATAATCAGACCATAAAATTCGTTTTGCCAATACTAAAATAACCCAGGAAAATTTCAGAAATCACAAAGAACGTTTCATATTAGAAGCACTTCATATCAAATGGAATCCTAATTGTCTGAATAGGAATGACAGATTAAGACAGAATCTCACCTGATTCCAACACACACACACATATACACACCATGAAGTGACAAAATCAACACAAATATGATAGGCAATTTGAATATGCAAACACATGCTGTTTTTAAAATTTCATACACTTATCAAGTCTAAAAATCTGCACATGGTTTGTTATCTTTACCATTTCAACCATTTGACAACGTATAAATTGCCTCACGCTGAAATGTGATTAAGTTACTTTATATATAAGCTGAGATTGTGTAAATTTTAGTTCAATACTACTTTGGTACGGTTATTACGATTAAATAACGAAACGCCAGTAAAAATAATATTGTTTCGTCTTTTCTGATTCATTGGAAAGCACAAAAACTGTTATGATAATGAATATCTTCCTTTCACACTTTGCAATATGTCTTAATACAGGAACAACACTACTAGTAGGAGAAAACGAAAATACCTGAATAAATTACAATGAATGGTAAATAAATAATTAAGCATTACATTCAACCCATTCTCTTCCAATTAATAAAGCCTACTTCCACAAAAGGATAAATTCTCCTTTCGGTGTTTGCTTAGTTGCTGTTCTGCTTGTCTGCAATGTTTCCGTTTAATTTCTCTAAAATCGTTAATATTGAAGGTCAGCTATTTTCACTATAACTGGTCAATAACTGTCTTGCGGTTAAACACCAAACATGCGTTTTTTTACACCTTACAATGAATAAGCACAAACGCCTCCTAATAAAGTATATTAATCTCTTAAGTTAATAAGCGTAGATTAAAAAAGAAATATAAATAAGAGTTTACAGGGGAAACACACTTAAGTGTATTAAAATTAAAGAAATATCTCTTAACACAAGACCTACTCGTAGCATTTTAAACAATTTGCAAGAAAAATTGTAGTCAAAATTAGAATATTTGGAATCTGTCATATCGAAAATGAAGACCAAACCATTTCTGGCAGCTGTTTCTCTAAAAGTGAAAAAGCAAAACATTATTAACTTGTGATGGCTCAAATTAAAAACACAAGATACGTTTTAAATGAATGATAACTACAGATAAGACTTGTTCTTTCGTTGAAGCCCACAATCAATAACCTAGAGGTGAAAAAAGACTCGACTACCCAAAACAGTTTTTATGTAGTAGGCTATGTAATAGCCACACTATGAGGGCTGGTGAAACTGTTCAGCTATCCAGGTTGAAGTAGGCTGTGTGGGACTCAGACTGACTGCTTTCAACGTATAACTTAGCACAGATGTGCAACAGTTCGAGTTGTCACTCTCCATTTAGCACAGAAAGCAAGAGAAGAGAGTAAAGAGAGATTCAAAAGCACAGTTTTTGTTCAGCGAAGAAATTTCTTTTCAACGACTTCATTTTCAAGCTGTACAGTCGTATTTATATCACAGAAAAAGGTTATCAAGTGGCACTAAATAATTGCTCAGTCAATGTACGTATATATGTGATAAAAGTTATAAGGGGTAGTTGAAGTGGATAAATTACAAAAATATTAAAGATTGTTCTATAACAAAAATGTCAAGTGTTGTCTAAAAATTTTGAAAATTAGGAGTACAATTACGATAAGAATGAAGATGTGAAGTGAAGTGGAAAGAATCCAAGTGGTAAAATAAAATAAAAACTAGAAAGAACATTATTATGACCAAGGTAAAGAAAGGGGTTTGACAAAACGCTTTTGAACACATAATTTAGGTTTCTGTTCATGTATATCTGAACAAAAACTGTGTTTTTACTTATGAATAAATGGGTATTTTTCGTGATTTAAAGGCGTGCAAGGACCGATTGACAGTAAATGGACTTAGTGAGTCTCTACGATATTATGTCAAGCTTGCGAAAGCGAATGCTAATTCAGATTCAAAAGCGATAATAAACAGAGATATGGGGTAAAAAGAATAGAAATGTGGAAGAACAATAGAACATTATTGGGTATTACAAATCATAAAGAGTGAATGCATAAGCGCCAACCATTGAGAACGATTTTGAGCCATGTCACTGATTGTCTTCAGTTATTGGATTTTAGCATCCCGAGTACCCAAACCAGGAAGCCAGCCTACACCCCCAACGTGGCTTAAACTGACTGTTGTGGATTTCATTGATCGATGCCATGTTTTGGTTAGACCACCACTTGCTCTTTCCCGACCTGAATCTATGTCAGCTAACATTGCCCATCGAGGAAGGCGATGGCTAGAGATGTATGCGTAACACATGTCACAACCATCTCAAACGATGCAGCTGCTTCACTACCTCGTCTAATGATTTCCTCTCCTTACCTAACACTCGACCGGTACTTTATCTCAATATTGCTCACCTTATTATACCACTTAACACAGGAGGTAGAACGCAGGCACCTATGATCTAGGACAGTTAGTCTTTTCATGTCTTCCACTTTCAGTGTTCGTCTCACAGCCATAAAGGAGGACGGAGCGAACTGCTGAGCAGTACACACGCCCTTTGGTCAACAGCCAGCCGGATATCAAATCTACTAAGCCAGATATCGAGTAAGCTGGCGTGTGCCGAACGAGGCTTCTGTATCCGTGCTGAGATTTCGTCAGAGATCAACGCTCTGGTATTGGCTGATGCAACTACCCAAATAAGTGAAGTGGTCGACACGCTCTGTCTGTCTGTCTGTCTGTTTTCGACATAGAACTTTGCACAAATGTGCGGAAGTTCAAGTCGCCACATTCCGTGTAGCACGCGAAGCAAGAGAAGAAAGTACAAGAAAAGCATAATAGAGACAGTAAACAGAGGTGTGAGACAAAGGAGTAATAAAGAAATACAAAACAGTTTCACTGAAGATCATAAGTCACAGGGAGTGGATGCATCTGCGCCACTGAGAACGGTTTTGAGCCATGTCACCAATTGTTTCCAACCATAGATTTTTACCGTCCCGAGGACCCCAGCCTGGAAGTCTACACCTTTCTACGTGGCTTAGACCAACTGTTGTGGATTTCACTGACTGATGCCAAGTTTTTGTTTGACCGCCGCTAGCGTTTTTCCAGTCTGACCCTATATCCGCTAACATTGCTCGCAAAAGTATGTAAAACTTGGGCATTGTGATAGAGTATAACTCCATAACGGATAAGATTTTATTTTGACGAACCACACAGAGTTGTACAGTAATATTAACTGATGACGCTTCGAGCACAAACTGTTACTCATAACCATATCAAGTTACTCACACAACTATTTTTCTTCACTTAGATATTGGATTAAAAATCAGTATGAGATGACGTACATTCAGAAATACGAGTGTCATAATACGAGTGTTATCGATCAATTATAGTTAGATAGGAAATGAGACGAGTGTTTTGACAGTCATAATAAGCTACTTGTTAGAATATTGTGATGTGTTTGGATTGAAATAGAATTTTATGATCATTTACTATCCTCTTCTGATTTGACCGGCGGTAATAATATCTTCCATATTTCTGGTATTTGCATTGAGTCATTTCTCTTGCATGTGTTGGGTGTAGACTCTATGAACAAGGATTCCGTAATCAACCTCTCTCTCCACCTAACTACATTGCTTTTTAGAATTTTAACCCTCTCCCACCCCATTGTGTGGTTGTTTGTTATTGTGTGAAGTGCAATAGCTGAGCTTTTTTCTAAATTACTTAACTTTTCAGGGTCAACCATTCTTCCCTTAGCTAAATTCTTGTGTTCTGATAATCTGACTACCCTCGACCCACTAGTTTGACCTATGTAGTTGACCTCACAGTCATTGCAGGGTATTTTGTAGATTATATTATTTTGTATAATTGGATCAACAGGGTCCTTTAACCTAGAGAGCTTGTCCTACCTGAGTGAGTTTGTAGGTTTGAATGCCACCCTAATTCCTGCTTTATTAAGAATCCTACGTGGGGTCTCAGATGTCTCCTCCTTATATAGTATAACAGTGGATGACTTATATTCTCTCTTATTTATGTTATTATTACTAGTTCCACAATTGTTTTTATTTTTTGTTTGGCCTTTACTGATCTTCCTAGTGAATTTTATAGGATAATTATTCAACGCTTCTTCTATCTGTTTTATTTCATCATTTAGGTCTTTTCTTGTGCTACTTAGTGCTATGGCTCGGTTTGTTAAACACTTGACTAAGCCTGCCTTAACAGTTAACGGATGAGATGAATTAACGTCTAAATATCTATTAGAATGAGTTGGTTTTTTGTACACACTAGTGTGTAGTTTGCCTTCTAGTCGTTTTATCTTACAATCTAATATAGTTAATTCTCCTTGTTCATTTTCCGATTCAAATGTGAATATTATTCCCTCACTAGTGAGTTTATATGTGTCAAGAAGCGAGAGATATGTTCGGTTTTTAAAACTGTGAAAATGTCATTCACATATCTTCGCTATATTTTTGGAGTAGGAGTAAATTTCCTAAGAGCGCTACTTTCCCTGCTATCCATGAATATGTCTGCTACGATAGGGGATATTGGTGATCTCACAGCTACACCTTCCGTTTGTCTGTGTATTTTGCCTTGTAATTTAAAGATAGTAGGTGTGAGGCATTAATTAATTCCTAAAATAATTTTTTAATGGGCAGCTTTGTCCTATGTTTGAGTTCAGGACCCGCAGTTATTTCTTTTTAACTGTTTCTAAGACCATATAGTCTGGTATATTATTATAAAGACTGGTCATATCAAAACTAACCATTCATTCTCTAGTTGAATGTCATTTAGTTTATTTTTCATCTCATATAAGTTAGTTAATCTAGAATTCTAACGATTTCTAATGGGGCGTAGTACTAGAGATAAGTGTTTTGATAATTCATAAGTAGGGGTATTTCTAAAATCTACTTTTGGTCATATGGGGTAACCTGGCTTATGTATTTTTATAGTACCATATATTCTACTAGCATTATTAGTTTTAGGCATTACCTTAAGCCATTTAGACTCACCCAGTGACGGCTTCATTCTTCGTATTAGTTCTGCTGTAGATTTATTAACCTTATTTATTATTGTATCTACAAGCTTCTTAATTTCTTCATATGGACCCGCCTGAATATGTTCAATAATTTTTTTGATGTAGTCAGATTTGTTCAAAACTACGGTGGCGTTTCCTTTGTCAGCTTTTGCAATGACGATAGTTTTATCCTGTTTTAGACTAATTAGAGCTACTCATTCTGATGTTGTTAAGTTTGATTTTGTTTGCCCTTGATTGTGTTCCAAACTCTATCGCTGTTGTCTTATCCATTGAACCTAGTGCTACTTCTATGTTAGGGTTATCCTTCTATGGTGATAACTCTTCTATGATTGCAATGGTGAGATGTAGCAATGGGATCACAAATATCCGCTATCGTAGTTGCCATATTTATTGACAGCTAAGAACATAGTTGTCAGCCAACTCTAATAAACTGTCAATGTCTGGCTCTTACTACCCTGGACCTCACGCTGACCCTGGAAGACATTCAGATACAATTTGTATTAACCAACGCAAAAAACCAGAACACAGATTGGCGACTCAAGAAATCTTTATCCTTACGCCGATATGTAACCAACAATAAGGTTATTATATTATTATAGGTTATTATTATTATACACTAGGTCTAAGGATAAGTGTCATAACAATAAATCACGATAATACTTCTGATAGATTTCTGTCTTCCACCCAACAGCGAATGAAGAGACGATGACTGCTGGGTTGATGACTCCCGCGAAAAATATGGAGGAGTTGGCTTTGAGCAAAAAACCATGCATTGATAGTTCAATCTTCAACAAAATTGAGAATAGTGTTCTAAGAGAGTTTTTTAACACTCCAAAATATAGTGAAGATATGTGAATGACATTTTCACAGTTTTAAAAACCGAACATATCTCTCGCTTCTTGACACATATAAACTCACTAGTGAGGGAATAATATTCACATTTGAATCGGAAAATGAACAAGGAGAATTAACTATATTAGATTGTAAGATAATACGACTAGAAGGCAAACTACACACTAGTGTGTACAAAAAACCAACTCATTCTAATAGATATTTAGACGTTAATTCATCTCATCCGTTAACTGTTAAGGCAGGCTTAGTCAAGTGTTTAACAAACCGAGCCATAGCACTAAGTAGCACAAGAAAAGACCTAAATGATGAAATAAAACAGATAGAAGAGGCGTTGAATAATTATCCTATAAAATTCACTAGGAAGATCAGTAAAGGCCAAACGAAAAATAAAAACAATTGTGGAACTAGTAATAATAACATAAATAAGAGAGAATATAAGTCATCCACTGTTATACTATATAAGGAGGAGACATCTGAGACCCCACGTAGGATTCTTAATAAAGCAGGAATTAGGGTGGCATTCAAACATGTCACAACCATCTCAAACGATGCAGCTGCTTCACTACCTCGTCTAATGATTTCCTCTCCTTACCTAACACTCGACCGGTACTTTATCTCAACATTGCTCACCTTATTATACCACTTAACACAGGAGGTAGAACGCAGGCACCTATGATCTAGGACAGTTAGTCTTTTCATGTCTTCCACTTTCAGTGTTCGTCTCACAGCCATAAAGGAGGACGGAGCGAACTGCTGAGCAGTACACACGCCCTTTGGTCAACAGCCAGCCGGATATCAAATCTACTAAGCCAGATATCGAGTAAGCTGGCGTGTGCCGAACGAGGCTTCTGTATCCGTGCTGAGATTTCGTCAGAGATCAACGCTCTGGTATTGGCTGATGCAACTACCCAAATAAGTGAAGTGGTCGACACGCTCTGTCTGTCTGTCTGTCTGTTTTCGACATAGAACTTTGCACAAATGTGCGGAAGTTCAAGTCGCCACATTCCGTGTAGCACGCGAAGCAAGAGAAGAAAGTACAAGAAAAGCATAATAGAGACAGTAAACAGAGGTGTGAGACAAAGGAGTAATAAAGAAATACAAAACAGTTTCACTGAAGATCATAAGTCACAGGGAGTGGATGCATCTGCGCCACTGAGAACGGTTTTGAGCCATGTCACCAATTGTTTCCAACCATAGATTTTTACCGTCCCGAGGACCCCAGCCTGGAAGTCTACACCTTTCTACGTGGCTTAGACCAACTGTTGTGGATTTCATTGACTGATGCCAAGTTTTTGTTTGACCGCCGCTAGCTTTTTTCCAGCCTGACCCTATATCTGCTAACATTGCTCGTCGAGGGAGGCGATGGCTTGGCATACGTAACACATGTCCTAACCATCTCAGTCTTTGTAGCTTCACGACTTCGTCGATTGATTTACCCTGTTTACCTAGAACTCTACGCCTAACCTCCATTTTGCTCACCTTATTATGCCACTTTACACGGGAAATAGAACGCAGGCACCTATGATCAAAGACAGCTAGTCTTTTCATGTCTTCCACTCTCAGTGACCAGGTCTCACAACCATAAAGGAGGACGGAGCGGACTAATGAGCAGTACACCAGCCCTTTGGTCGATAGTCTTGTCTTTGTCTTTACTTCGGCTATCTCCTACGGGAGGATGAGCCGGCTTCATGAACCATGAAGTTTCATGGGAATTGGGTACGAGTGATGTCCCCAGCATCGCTCGGCCTTTTGTTTGAGAGTGCAGCTCTAGCCTTTACACAACCAAGTGTGACCTACAAGGCAGTAGGAGTGGAGTAGGGAGTCCACTATCCATTGGCAGCCGGTGACCGGTTCATTCGCCTTTTTGAATGGGGCCAGTCATCCAGGGCATCCAATAAGCCCTTTGTCCATACGTCTGCCGATGAGCTTCATACGCCAGTCGTTGGAGGTTTGGAATCAGGGTTTAACCATCTCCCCTAGACTGTCATCCAATGGACAGTCAACCCGGTGAAGAGCGCCGGGCATCCGCTTTTGCCCTCTCACTTTGGTGAAAAACACCTCCGCCACGTGAAGGCAGTGAGTAGGACTTCCTCAGGAGAGGCTATGTAAGACGCCTGGTCATATGGGAGCATTTCAAGAGGTGTACGGAGGGGTGGCCAACCTGCAGCGCAAGACACCCACCCCCGACCATCCTGAGGCTTTGGAGGCTTTGGTCGATAGTCGAACATCTCGTCTACGCCAGAGTCGGCGTAAACTAACAAATGCGAAACGACACGCTCTATCATATGTGAAAGAATTGTGCATCTTAACAATCTCAAACTAACCTTTTCAATGCAGCATCCAACTGAAATATGATACTGTGTAATAAAGCTCGATGATTTCCTGATTTTCGATGCAACCTAACGAAAAACTGAGCCACACGAACACCAGGAATGTCATTATCGTTCTATTGAGTGGAAAATAAATAGCTTGTGAGTTCACTTACCAATATAACGAACTTCCCTGATAATAATTCACGTCTAATATCTTCTTCAAAAGGATCTACATGGGTAATCTGTTCACTAGCCAGAAAAGTCTACCAATATTAGGTCACTAGGGAATAAATTGACACAAACCTGATAACTGTGGTACAACTCCAAGGCTTGTGGGACAGAAAACTTTCGCGCAGCCAAAACGTTGAAGGCTAGCTGTTGGTACTCAGGAGAACTTTGAGTGCTTTGGATAAGTGAAAGAAACTCTTCAACTTTCTAAAGTGAGATAAAAACAATGAGACCGATCCAAGGGAATAAAATGTAAAACGTAACAATGAATTAGGTAGCTCACTTATTTCTGAAATGGCTTCACGCTTTCCACAAAACCCAAATACGTTTGATTAAAACCAACAGCCAATAAGTGTAAAACAATTATGTAAAAATAACACTGCATGTATCATACCTTCGTGTGAAAAAAGTCCCTTTACGGAAACACTAAGTTACTTATTATTATAACCAGGAAATGTTTGAAAAATTCCTAAATTTCACTATTAAAGGTAAATTATATCAGAAAATGTTAAGTTAGCTACATTAAGTATATATTTATTGGACACATATAAGCCTTTTTTCATTCGTTTCATTTCGACTGGGACATACGTCTTCCAGCTTTGAAGTTTCAGTGCTGAGGCTGTTTTGCAAAGGGTTGGGTTGTCACTAATGGAAGAGCAGAAATCGGGTAGCGTGGTGGAGTATAATTCCATATTAGATACATTTTTTAACGCAACACATACAGTATAACTAACTGGATGACTTTTCGAGCACAACTCATTGCCCATTATCATATCAATTTGCCAGTGTCACACCTGGCCCTACATATTTCCTGACATAACGAATGGCTAGACGAGGTTTAGGAGTGAGTTGGCTGGGAATCTAACTCGGACCTGCCGAGTGGTTGGCGATCATTCCACCGTTGAACCACCAACGTACACACACACATAGGCTGAAGATGTTGCGCATAAATCGCCACTAAACTACGCTGGAACATAGTAACAAGGCGATTTAGCTAAGCAATTAGACAAGATGAAATAAATAGTAAAAATTGATGATCTTATGGTCACAGCTCAAAACTATCACATAAGGCTCAGAATCAACATTGATGGTGGTCGTGTTGGGACAGAAATGTGAGAAAGAATAGTAAAATGGAAAATCATTAAGGTGTAACAGATAAGAGGGATCAACAAGAGTGAATACATCCGAACCGTCAAGAATAGTTTTCAACCATAAAACCAACAGTCACCAGCATCTGGTTCTTAAAACCTCAATGGTCAAGACATGCAATTTACACTTACACACGTGGCTTAAGTCAGCAGCCAGCTCTCACAGACTGATAGCATGTTTTGATTTGATTGCGCCTAACTCTCAACTTAATCCTACACTAGCTGACATTTGCATGAATCAACAGCCCTGAGGACTTGAGATAATCATGTGGAGCTGCAACTTATAGGTTTGCGAGTCCAATTTTCGACCATCAGGTCAATAGATCACACTTCGCCTCACCTACCATGTCAAATTCAGATGTTATCACTAACCGCGATACAATAGGTGCGGCTCGTCGCCAACTATAAGTGTTTTCGTGATAACATACTTCAGTGACATTGAGACGAAAAATGCTCAACATCATCGAAATGAAAACACACCGTTATCGAAAGCGAATGCCTTTGAATTATGTGGGCAAGCACCGAGGTTATATAGCTGGATGCATCGATAAATACCACGGAAAGCGTGATGTTAATTACTAAGTTAACAATGTTAATCAACCCTGTGAGTGTTAATGGACTGGGCCACATTTATTCAGAGGGCTAATGAAACGCCTTTTATACGTAAATATCAAAGCCAAAAACACCTTAGAAAACCTAGATGTCTGATACAGTAAGTCAGCACTACGGTGACCAAAGATTTCGCATAAGGCATATTCATCTAAATGTGGGACGAAAATAGACCTAAGTCCCTCAGTCAAGGCCAAAAATCTGAAGTTTGACTTGGAGAAATTCCAAGGAACTGAAGAGATAATGTAGTGAAATGCACATACTAACCTAATTCGAAACTATGCATCGATAATGAAGACTAATTCTAAAAGAATATTTTGTATCATTAAGAAAACCTAGTATGTAATGGGACAATTGAAGTAGTGTTTGAAAATTGCGGTGGACGCCTTACTAAAGCGATAAATACCAAAGTAATGCTAGTCATTGCGCTGTAATGGCGCTGAAAAAGATAACAGTACCCAAGCTTACAACAATTCTAAACTTATTCTAACCTATTCTTCGATAATACCTTTTTATGGTAAATGAAGATTTTATCCACCCACTATGTTCTGAAGTAACGCTAGTCAGTGCTTAATATGTCCTGTGAGGACTGGAATTTTCGCTGTGCTGAATTTTTGTCAGTCATGCTGAAAACCAGCACTGAGTTATAGTCTGTGCCGTTAAAGAACCCATTTCAGAACAGATCCAAAATTTACTCAATATAGAATGTTAGAATTATTTCAGAATTAGTGAGATCTAATTCAGCATTATAGTAAGCTTATAAGCTCTGAACTTCATGACAAATGACTCAAAATGTTTAATTATTCAGAGTAATGTGCAAAAACACTTAGCAGCAATGTTTGAGCTGCAATCTACTCGCCACACGAAAAAGCGTTAGTTAAGAATATGAGAGAATTTTCAATATTAATATTGAAATAAATTCCTGTTGGCCAAATACCATGTTGACAGTGAAAAACAAAATATAATGGCTTTCCGATCGCCTACCTTCTTCTCATCATTCGTCAGCTTAAACGACTCCAGACAGTATCTCATGTCAAATAAACCATTACAGACAAAGTGCCTAAAATAAGCGCCCCAAGGATATGAGCGGTTAAACAAATATTTCCGTAATATCAAGATGATTGGCAGAAAGCATGTCTGGAAGACTACACTGCCTCCTTGTTTTTTTAAACTAAAAGACTGAATCGATGATTTCAGCCATCTTTTGGACTCGTCGGCACCATTAGATCTTTTATTATGGAACACCTTAATTGTAGATTAGATGCAGTATGAACTACCGGAAATCTTTCAGTGGAACTGAAGCTTCTGGGACAGACGCAATTACGTAAAACTTTTGGACTTCGATTGTAGAAGGAAAATGAAATATAAAAATCCAGGAAATGGAAATGAAAGAAATGTCACCCGAAACTCAAGAACATACTCTGTTGATTTTGAAATCATTACAAGTAACTCCGACAGCTAAAGTGTTACGGCTAAGGTAGTTACTGAACTAGATTAAAAAGCCAGTGAAGTATTGTATAGGATCATTGCTGTTAAGCATCTACGATTGTTTAACTAGCTAGAGATATTATAAGAACATCCGGACGTAACACGCAGTCTGCCAAATGTCTCAGGAGTTTGGCTGTGTAACTGGAGCATAACTAACCAACTCTATCAGCGGCAGTCAGCATCTGCCGTTGAAGGCAGCCGCAAGATACAGATTTCATGAAACTATACACCGCTAAGAAATAACAGAATAATTTGGAACTAAGGACTCATTACTCCCAAGACATCAATTCTCTATTCCCGCCCTTTAAGAAAGTTCCACTGGAAGTTACTCTAATGTGGGTATCATAGAGTCAATAGCAGTATGCAAGAGAAATAAAAGAATTTGTAGAGTATTCTAGTGTAGGGGTAAATTTACCAGCCTCAAGGACCCCACTCAGGGATTCTGAAGATGGTGATGTTCCCAGAAGACCAATAAACGTAAATCAAAATACTGTGAGTTAACACCAACTCTAAAACATCATAAGACAGTTCAGGTGCATGAAATACAGCTGGTCGGATCAGAACAAAGGGACGAAATAGTGAGAAATCCTGCAGCTAGCGGGTCTTTTAGATATTTTTATTTTGAATGTCACGAACTCAGTGACGCTGTCTGTCAGCCACGTCTCGTAAACCGTTAATGCCCAGCTTTTGCTACGCTGGGCCTCACGCTGTTCCTCGAAGCTTCTCAGAAACGCTTAGTACGAACGGCCGCAAAAACCAGAACACAGATTGGCGACTCAAGAATTCTTTATTCTAACACCAACATATATCCAACTTCACAACTAAGGTCTATGAACAAATATTACAATAATAAATCCCGATATTACTTCTGACGGTCTTGTGCGTGCTTTTTGAACAGCGATCGATGAGACGATGACTGGTGTATTGATGCCTCCGCGAAAATTGGGGAAGTTGGGTTTGAGCAAACAACCATGAATTGATCGTTCAATCTTCAACTACATTGACACTGTTCATCGATAAGAAGAACAGCAATGCTGTATCAAGGGAGATCCACCGTGAGACTACAGTGTGCTGATATCTAGAGAATTAACTGAAGGATTAGAGTAAACAAAGTTTGGCAGAAATAAAGCGTGTACAGCAGATACACTTTAACTATAAGAAGACAAATATTGCAGATCAAATAGGATACCAATCCATTAAGTGGGGTAAACATCAGTAACAAACGACAGTTACAGTTATGAAATTACAGCACAATAGGAATATATATAAGATATGCATTCGCCCCAAACTTGAATACTGTGCCCACTTATATAGTAGCTTTAAATCAGCAGACAGAAAAGAAGTTGAAAGTGTCCAAAGATTCCTTACGAAACGCATATTAGGCTATGGTCAGCAAATAGAATACCTTGACAGATGTATTCGACTGGACTTAGAGCCCTTATGGTTAAGGAGAGTGAAGTGCAATTTGTTTCTCTTATTCAAAGTTATAAGAAAGCACTGTAACGGTAACTCGTCCATAACCTGGGCTAATCCTAAATCGTATGGACTACGCAACCACAACTACCTTCTCAAGGTTAACACCCATAAACTCACCACTAGAGCTAACTTCTTCACCATTAAATATTGCAAACTTTGGAACCAACTACCCTCTGAGATAAGATCCTGTGAAAGGCCTGACAGTTTCAAAAGGAGCCTAGAAAAACATATAAACATGTCCACCCTAGCCCGCCTCAAAGATCTCAACTGCTGGTAGAATGGAGAGACAATGGCATTTCAATATTTAACTACAGAAAGTACACTAGTTCCCAGACTAACATAATAATACTTAGTAATTATGTAGGCTCCATACTTGAAATTAGATTGTCATTAAAATACCTAAAATGATTAAAATACTTATGCGGCAAATGTTCTCTTGGTTTACCGCTCTTATTTCCCTTATAACACTCAGTTACTGAGTCTAATGTATTCTTTGATAATACGAATTATGACACTGATTATGCTCTTATTATACATAGATTGATTTACTTCACGACTACCTGTAGTACTAACTACCCTTCTGTAGTATTGTTAACCAAATGCTGAAATTTTTTTGGTTCTGTTAATATCTTTTTATAATATATGTAGACAGTTTACTTTGCAATGTCAAATGTTTACTATATATAAGAGTGTCATGATAATTTAGTACACTAAGTCCCGCCAACCGACCTTACCTTCAGTTCTTACTACCTACATTGATCCCTAACTATATTGTTCTGCTGAATCTTGCTCCACTATTCACAAAACCTATTCTTTTTATTCTTTAAGGTTTTTACTTCTTGTAAAGTAATCTGTTCATTAGGACGCATGCATACATATATAATGTTCATAAAGATGTACGCGGAGACCTATTGGAAGCACTCATTAAGAAAGCTAGGGAGATGGAATATGAGGTACGAACATGTCTGGTACCAAGCAGTATATTTGCGGTAGCCATAATAATCATAGTCTCAGAGCTTAACATCAAAAAAGGAGGGAGGGTGGCGTTAGCTGATCAGTAGATATGGTGGGGGTCACTAAGGTGAATCGCCCCATTCTGCAGGAACAGCAATATACAAATTAAAGGCTCGAGATATTTCTGATTTTTATGAGGGCTTAGATCTTTATCTTGAAAAAGATAATAATGAACGCCTTGACAGATCATGCTTCTACCTTTAAATATATACCATTCGCTCAGCCTATTGTTGAGACGCGACCACGCGGGATCTGCACATATCTATGGGGCATCTTATAAACTAACTTGCTGTCCATTGTCTGATCTTTAAATACCACTTCACAATGTCTTATCTCATTCATTTTCAAATAACGTCTTTACTTGATCCTCATTATATTCCATTAAACCTAACATTTTACAGCTCTTTATGACTTATTATATTCCTACTCTCTGAAGGGTACGGTTGTGCACTAAATGCACAAAAAGGTATAAAACAAAAACAACTGGCACAACTGAGGATAAATGTATTAAAACCAAAAGTGGACATCATGCTAGTACGAGTTATACGTGTAGCATTATGCATTGCAAATGAACGTTGTCAGCCTAGGGAGTTTTCTTTATTAATGCATTTATAAATGGTACTTGCACTTACCTATTTCATTACAATTTATTGATTCACCTCAGCACTTTTACTTTTCTAAAACAGCTTTCAATCCCTTGTAAACGTTGTACTTACCTCAATATTGGTTGGTTATCGTATGCCGACAACCACGGGATGAAAACGAAACCAAGTCGATTTTCCCGCTCAACCTGGAGGACAATTGTACAATTCAATAACTATACAGCCTAGTTCAGACAATGTGTATTTATATATATATATCAAATATTTAACTGTTGAAACATTATTAACTTGTAGACAATCTACGATTTGATATTATATCATAATTGATCGTGCCTGTAAAAATGGCATTCATTTTCATGTAAATTTATATGTTTATATGAGAATATACATTATTATTATTATTATATGTACACTCACAATACCTAATGCGGGAAACAGCAACAAAGGATGGTTGAGAACGGAATTAACATGATATTTATCTGTTATTGTGAATTACATACGTCACACCTAGTCCTGGCATAAAATTGTTTCTGTGACTGGTTTGATCAACTCACTGTCACTATTTCTCATTCCTTCACTACGATTTCGCTTATTGATGCTTTTGCAGACAGCTTCATATGACTGGTGTTCACACTTAGCCAGAGGCTACTGAAGAGATGTACTTCGCTCTCCATTATACGGGGATATTTTTAATGTTTTCCTTTTGCCTAACTTTGTGGCTAGTCGCTCCTTCAGTTTACGATTTTCCTCCATCAAACCGTTCATATGAAAGTGGCTGCTGTCATCTTTTTCCCCCGTTAGAGTCATTTTTAGCCCTCCATGACACAACAGTGCATTCGGCCACCCCACCTGTTCTGTTCGTCAAGGGATCCGTGTTAGGTGTTTCACTCTCCATCAGAGATGGTTACCTTTAGATACAAGAAGCAAAGATCCCATAATGTCTGCTGTCAAAAACGAGTCAAACGACGTTCACAGAACTGATTATAATCGTAAGTTGAGTGCACCAATGCCCTACTGGCAGGCGGTACATTCCTTGAAATATCATCTCTCATGCTTACCTAATATTCACTTTGATCCATGAGATCGTACGTCTTTGCAATATATGTAAGTTTTGCTTGATACTACTAGTAGATCATTTTTAAAAAACCTTGTTAACAGATGAGCTGCGGTAGCCCTCGAGCCGCCGAGTAAGAGTTCACCACTATATCCGGAAGACGACGCTCCATAACTCAGAATAATATTTTGCAGCCGACTTACCTTCAACGCAGCCAATATTAATAACAAAATGTGTGACTAAAAAGGTTATTATTCAGCCAACAGACAGACCCAGTGTAACAAGGCTGATTATACAAACCAATGTTAATCACCTTAGCTTAAATATGCTTACTATTAAGGCATACGAATAAATGTCAGCAATGATTTTGGTTCTGTTATTTGAATTTTCTGTCACTCAGCATGCAGCATTGATACTGTAGGAACGTTTACACACAACTA